TTGAATTTAATAATCTCTAAGATCTACGTCTAAGATTCTGTGGACGGCAGCATCCAAAATGATTTTGACAGGTTAGGATTAGGTTGAATCTATGAAGACAAAATTCAATGAGTTTAAACGGAAAATCTTGAAACTTGAGTACAAAATTAAATTTCACAAGAACAGGATGGAAGAATAAATAGAAGTTTTTCTGGAAAAGATCTGAGGATTGTAGTGAACTACAAGGTCAAGGAGTCAGCAGTGTGCTTTGGCAGCCAGTAATGCTAATGACATCTTGGGTTACATCAAGAGAAGCTCAGTAAGGAAGAGATACTCCTCTGTTCCTCTGTGCCTCACCTGGAGTACTTGGTTCAGCTTGGGGTGCCACATTTAAGAATATTGACAAACAAGTTGGTATCCAAAGGAAGGTAACTAGAATCGTGAGGGATCCATATGATATGAGGAACTAGAGGTGTTTAGCCTGCAGAAGACTATAACTGCCTTGAAGGGCTGTTATGTAGAAGGATTAAGACTTAATCTCTTTGGCCTAGAAGCCAGAACCAAGAGCAATGAAGCAGCTACAAAAATGCAAAGTTAGACTTGATGTCAGGAAAAACTTCTCCTCCTAGGAGTTCCTCAAGCAGAGTTTGGGTGACCACTTCTCGTGCATGTTATTATGGTGAGGATTCCTTTTGAATATGGATTGACATATATGGCCACTGAGATCCCTTCCAACTTTTAAATTCTGATTTAATTTCTCAGTGACCCAGGGAACTCTTCAAGGCCATTAAGTTACAAATGTTTCGTTGATATGCAAATGTGACCAGTTTCTAAATCAGAAGTTCCCCACTATGGGGTGAAATGATGACTATACCATTATCACTTCATGGGCCAGTTCTGCTCATTTTACTTTGTTACAAGGAAGGGACAGAAATGATATCAGGAAATGACTGATATAAAAACAAAAGGCATTAATAAAACATCACAAAAATATTTGCTGGATGAATCACTGACTCATAAAATATGTAGAATAACTCTCCCCATTTTTAAAAAGTTGATTTTTTTTCCCTAAAATCCAATTTACAGAACAACAAAGCTGGTTAGCACTACTGCTCTCCACCTTCCTAAAGTAGTTATTATTGTATGAAGAACAGAGACTAAGGAAGGTGTCTGAGCAATCCTGTAAGATGTAACATTTTCCTGGCATACAACAAGACTCCAAAATTTAAGTGTGAACCATCCAACGGAAACTTGAATATTCAGCATTTGGAGACTATGCTAAATACCAGATTACAGAAATGAAGGATGGTATCATTTATACACACACAAATACTCTAATGACTAGGTCAGGTAATGAACTAAGTGAAAGTCTATGGATTTTGAGTAGTCAATCAACTTTAAAAGTAAAATTAGCAGCTAAAATTCCAAGACCAGAGACATCTGATTTTTGCACAAAAACTGATAACCACTTATCATGGATAATTAAGATACTCATGTGAGTGGAAGACAAGTATGGGGAATAGGTAACTCAGAATCAGTCATGTTATAGTTGGATTTGACCTTAAAGGTAGTATCTAATCCAACCCCTTCATTTTAGAGGGGAAATGGACCCAAAGTAATTAAGTGACTTATCCAAGGTCACATAGCTCCTGATATCTTTCTAGTTCTGAAGTTAAATGAACCATACAGTATGATTTCCCTCCATATCTAAATAATTAAGAACTGCAATGCTTAAAGACAAGACAATTCAAAGGTACTTTGACTATCCAAGTAAACTGGCTGCATGTCCCTTGCATTAGCAAATTCATTTTCAAAAAGAACTCTATAATGTCCTTTTCTAAAGAATTCAAGGTTCCATAGGTATAAATAATATATAAAAGCTATCTTTGAAATAGTGGATCTAAGCCTCTGAGTGATACACAATTTCGAAAAAACAACAATAAGCACATGAAAAGTTAATACTAACATTTAACCTGAAAGGCAAAAAATAGCCTTTGCCTATCTGTACCAAAATCTTCATAGCACTATTTATGGTAGCAAAAAAACTGGAAACAAAGTGGTTGCCCATTAACCAGTAATGGCTGCAAAAACTGATATATGAAGACAATGCTGAAGTATGAACTGACATTCAGAGAAACTTTGGAAAGATTTGTATGAACTGATGCACAGCAATTAAAACCAAAAGAAGATATATAAGAAACAAAACATTAATTTTTCCTTCACAGCAGAAATGGAGAACTAGGACAGACTATATTGTCAAACATGGCATCTATATTAGATTTTTTTTTCTTGTTTTCCTTTTTCATATGGGAAGAGTTCAGTGCAGACTGGTGTAGGGACATGACTGATATAAAAACAAAGGGCATCAGCAAATTATAAAAGTAGCTCAAGGAAATAAGAAAATTAAAATCTATAGAATCAAGTACACTACTATTTTATTAGCCCTCTGACATCATATAGATGAGTTCCTCCTAATATTTTCAAAATGTGATAGAATACAAAAAAGTACAACAAAATAGGTAACAAAATAATGCATTCAGTCAATAAGCATTTAAGTGCCTAATATGTGCAAGGCACTCACAAAAGATGTTAAAGTTGTTGACTATGTGACAAAAAAGGTCGTCTTACTTGTTCTGTTTTATTCTTTTCCTTTACTTTTAATTCTCTTTCCTTTCAGTCTATTCTGAAATTGTATTCTATGATTCTCTGAATTGTATTCTAGTATTTCAGAAAATCACAAAATAGTTCTGACTCAGATTGTCTGTGAAAAAAGAAATGTAAATAAAAGCAGTACTGCATGGTAGAAATTATTCTATCACAAATCATGTGGTCCAGTTCTATCCCGTCTTCCCCATGAGGCCAAGAGTATCTCACTCCTGTCTCCCCCTTCCCCACACACACTTCTGAGTCCCAAACGACCTACATGCTGACATGTCTGTTGTCCTAGGTCAGGATGATGTCCACGGAGGCACAACACTCTCAGAAAAGGTGGCTTCACAACATATGAACTCTGCCCATCATAACGTGCCTATCTACCCTTACGGCACACTCTTCTTCACCCATCAGTGGTCTTCAGTGGGAACCCGCCCCTGGTGCACTGACTCTTTCCTTTCAGCCTCCTGGACTGATTTCCCTCCATCTTGTGACGTTTCCCATTATGCTCTTCAATTACATCCCACTTCCTTCTTTAGCTCCTAATTTACTTCTTTAAAAATCCCTTGATGATTCTTTTTTAAACCGCATAGCACTTCTCTTCTTTTTTCAGTCTAAATGTAATTTCATTCCTTATTCTTTCCTTGGTTTCTTATTTATTTTTGATTTTTATATTTATTTACCTTTCTTAGGATTGGTTTTTTTTGGGGTGCTTACAAGTTAAATTCTTGGCATTAGGCATTTGGGGGGATGTAGAAATGTTTAAAATGCCTTTTGTTGAATGTCCACCTTTTTCATTGACTAGGTTACGGATGTGTCATTCAAAGTTGCAGCTTGATCTCCCTAGTCTTTAGAATATTTCTTTTCCTTTTCAGAGTATTATATTCAATCAATCAATAAGCATTTACTAAGTGCTAATTATATACTTTGGGGATACACATAAAAGCAAAAACAAGCTTCTGCCCTTGAGGAGTTTACGTTCTAAAAGGAGAGAGAAGTATGAGTAGGTACACAGAAGATAACACACAGAGTAGATGGAAGGTATTAAAAGTTGGGTGGGACCAAGAAAGGGTTTGAATGAGAGATGGGCATCCAAAATTCCTGGGATGGGGAGGGTATGACTGGATGACAGCCTGTTAATCATAGACTAATGAGCCGAGATGGATTATCAACATCCCTAGGGGTTTGTCAGCACTGTCTTTAGGACTTTAGGTAGCTCAGGTGAGGGAACCAGTGGGGAGGAGGGAGAGGGTGTAGGGTGTAGGTGTAGAATGGAATAGCATTTCTCTCCTTTCCCTAAGTCAGGCAAGGTCAGGCCAGGAAACAATGGAGGGAGTATGATGAAATGGCTTTCTCTCACAGGCAAAGGGAGTGGGATGAAATGGCATTTCTCAGTCCCTTGCAAGCAAGAAGCCAGTTTAGAAAATCAGCACATTCAGTCCCCTACAAGCAGGAAGAAGCTAGTATTCAGCTAACAACTATCACTGACATAGGGCTTTAAGTATTGCAAATATTTGCAAAATATTTTATTTTATTCTTCTTCTTGTTTAGTTGTGTCTGACTCTGTGATCCCATTTAGTCAAGGTGTGAAATTTCAATACCTCAAAGGTGCTGCAGTTTCAATGTTTTCTCAAACTTATGATCATTCAATTAAGGTACTGGAGCTAAATGTTCCATTTGTGTAATTACATATGCTAAACCAATCACACTCTCTGTCCTATGTTGTTTTAAAGTTATATGAAGGGAAGACTAAGAGTTTTATGTCCTACCCCTAGTAAGGTTCATGCAAACCAACAGGGACAGAACTTGGGACTTCAGTTTTCAAAAACATTTGAGGAACAAATGACCAATTGAGAATTTCTATCAGGTCTCGTCATGAGGTAGCATACTTAAAAGACCACAGCTTTTGCTCTCTAGTTCTTCTCAATTCTTTAACTTCGTCCAAGTGAAAAAAAAAATTAAGTTAACTACATGGGCTCTATGAGTGGTTGAAAGTGTATTAGCAAACCTCTTCTTAAATTGCAAGCATGCAACAAGGCAGTTCTGCGTAAATGCTGTTCTGTGATATGGTGAAGGACAAACAGACTTTAATGTAATTGCATGCAATGATCTAAAACATTCAACTCAAATATGGAATTACTGGATGTGCTTTTAATGCTCCAGGAATACACAGTCTCTTTTAAATTCAGAATATTACTCAAAACTACTCTACCAATAAAGAAACAAATGAATTAATCAAAGTGTAAAGATGAAACGTTAACCCAAACTCTTAGACACAGAGAAAAGGGTGGGAGAACCAAGAGAGTCCAAATCAGAAGGAGAAAAGAAGAAGTGTGTTTATTAAAAATAAAGACTAAGGACACTGTTTCCAAGTTTTAAAAAGGTATATATATAATTTTAAAAATCCAAACACATATTATACATTTTATCAACGCACATTTATGTTTAAACAAAAAAGACTCAGGAAGTTAGGTTTATTATTTTTATAACTTGGGGAGGAGAGGTGCTGTAGTGAAATATTTTGGCTTTATTCTACAGACAGAGAGTTGGACACCTGCCTGTATACACTCACAATGCTAGAGAAGCACTACTTTGTGTAACACTATTATACACAGTTAAGTGAAAGCACTCGATTTGGTTTGACAGACACAATGTTTTCAAGTAAAGTCAACATTTCTGTAATGAATATCCCGTTAGTAGACATCAGTAGTTCCATTTCATGAAACAGATGTTTAGAGTGGAAAAAGAAGTACACATGCCCTCCTTCAGCTGACAAAAACTGCTGCAATAAACTACCAAACCTAAATGTCCTCACTTCATTACATTTGTGGATCAAGTACTGTGTAAAAATGAATGAATGAAAAATCTGAATACTCCCCAAAAAACCCAACTGGTACATTTCAAATAAAAGTTGCTGAGCATCATCCAATTAGAATAGTGGACAAGTCTTTTGTCTTGTTCTCTTAGGAGGCCTGCCAAATCGAACAACTTTTCAACAGAATATGCTCTTCACTAGGAAGATACTCTGAAGCACAAAATGAGCTTCTGTGTTATGAGACACATACTTCCGGCTGGATACTCGGTTGTGAAAGTTTACCACTCTCTTCTGTCTTTTCCTGCCCAGATCCATGGCAAGTTGTCTTGCGCTTAAACAACCGCAAACTTAACCGCAATAACTCATTGTCTACCACTGGAGTGTTCGTGTATGTCTGCTTCAAGGTGCCCTGAAAACAAAACGGGGGTACACAGTATTAACAGTGAGGGATGCAGGCTGCTAAACAAAGTGCTAAGAACAGTTCCTGAGCTCTCTCTCTTTGATTCTAGAGAATGTACTGCTTTGCTTATATGGCCTGACAAGCTACTACATAGAGAATTATTTTCACAAACCTTAATGATTGATACCTTAGAGCTCATCCAGCCCAGCTTCAAATCCCACCAATGCAGGAAATTCCTCCTCAATATCTTGGCCAAGTTGAAATGAAGTTTCTGTTTAAATACTTTGAGTGATAGAGAACTCACCACCTGACAAGGAAGCCCTTTCCATCGATGAATAGCTGTTGTAAAATTCTTGCAACCCCAACTGGACCTAGTTCTTCATACTGAGTCAAACAAGGTAAAATCCAACCTTTATTATATGAAATTCTTTGAGCACAGTATTGTGTGTTCTCCTCTCCAATCTAACTGCTTCTAGTCCCTTCAATTACTGCTCACATGTCATGGCTTCTCAACCTTTCACTGATCACTCCATGACACATTCATTCTATCTGTAGCCTGATCAATGCAGAACAAGCCTCTTCTTATTCACCTTGTTCTGGATTCAGTCCTCTGGCTACCACAACCACAGATCACACGGGCTTTGTTGGGCAGTTGTACCAAAGACTTGATCTACACTGGACTTTTTTTTTTTTTGTTAAAGTAAATTAAAAGCTCCAGGTCTTGCTGTATATTCATTGCTATTAAACCAGAATATCTTCAATCTAGTCTTAGGCAACTAATCTGGTATTACATGCAGGACCTTACATATATCCCTATTAAATCTTAACTTGTTAGTTTGGGACCATGAGTTTTGCAAATATTTTCAATTTAATTTCAGCCTACCTAGAATGTCTTTGAAATCTAATTCTGTTCTTTTATATATTAACTAACCCACTTTAGCTGTGTGAAATGCACAAATTTGATAACTATGTCTTCATTCAAGTCACTGATAAAAATGCTTGCACAATGTAGGCCCTCATGGCCAACCATTAGTGACTTTCCTCTACTAACTGATCTAACACTGACCATCACTCTTTGGGCAATCATGCAACCAATTACAAATAAATCATTCAGTCTACACCTCATTCAGTTGCACTGGTGAATTTCATTGACTCTGTAAGGAGCCCACCTAAAAAGCAGCAGCATCTATTTCCCATCAGTGGCAGTACATGTAAAAAGAATTTTGACACAACTAGTTGCCCTTATGTTCTTCCGTATATGTTATCACACAAGCATTTATTTTACAGGAAGGGACCATTATCACAGATAAGGAAGAAAAGCATCCACTACAATCCATAATTCATAATCATGGAAGGGAAGGTATATTTAACTTATTATGTTTAATACTCACCATACTGACCACACTAAATGGGTATTTAATACTTTTTAAAAATCCTCTACATATGCAACCACAATCCTACCTGAAACAACTAAATGAAAACATATCAGTCAATACACTTTAATGTAATCCAAGGAAATGACAGTACCTTTTCATTTTTCACTAGCTGTTTCCGAATTGCAGAATCTCGCCTAAAGCATAATGCTTTACAACATGGTCCAAGATTACTGAGAAGACCAGCTCTCTCTTCTTTACGTAGCAATGCTGCCATATTTAGGGCTCCCAATTCATGCTCAAAAAGATTTTCTGCATCTACCAATAAAAATAAAGCAGAATTAAAGAAAAAAGAAACTCTGCTAATTAACAAAGTTCCGCAAAGTTCAAAATATACCTAGTTAAAAGTATAGCTACAGTATAGAACAGTCTGTGTGGTATACCAAACTTGGAGTTGGCAAACTATAGAAAAATTTTTAAACTTCCTATTAGTTCACATTTTCATTCTCTTCCTTCGTTATATCTTCTAACTTCAAAGTACTATCAACTATCAAGTGAACCAAACTGAGTTTTACCTGCTTTTTATCTTTCACTCCCTTGCCTTGATAAAAGTAGATGCCAACCCTGCCATCCTTATCTGTTCTCCCAAGTCACACACCAAAAATAAGTGATGGGCAACAGAACATAATTTAGAACCTCGACAAATTGGGGGGAAAGGAGGAAAGAGGGGAGAATCCCTGAAAAATTTAAAACTGTTGAGTACTTTAAGGTTTGCAAAGCGCTTTACAATATCTCATTTTATACAGACAATAACCCTGAAGTAGCTACTATTATTATCTGCATTTCTCAGAGGCACACAGTGGTTAAGAGTCACACAGTGAGTAAGCGTCTGAGGTTGGATTTGAACTCTAGGTCTAACTCTACCCATTGTGCTACCCAGCTGACAACACTGAAATGGTCTAATGTACTAGCTACACTAAGAGAAGCCACTACACTAAATTTAGGCAGCTTTCTCATAAAAATTTATTTTATAAGCAGCATGCTATAGTTAAAAGAATACCAGACTAAGAACCAGAAAATTTTGGTCTTTGTCACAGTCAGGTCTGCCAGTACCACCTGTGTCCACTTGGGTAAATTACTTAATTTCTCTTAAAAGCCAAATCACCTCAATTTTCCTCACCTATAAAATGAGGGGGTTGGACTACATGACCTATAAGGTTCTTCCTATCTCTCAAATGACATAATCAATGACTTATTTTATTTTCAATTCGACTAAATGTGTGCACAATAGAGTACATTTAGTCTCATAGTGTGAAGAAGATAACTGAAATACCCTAGCAAACATGATTTTACTTAACTTAAAATTCTATAAAAATACAATGCTAAATAATGCTGAAGGCTCAAGCCCAAAGTAATTAATTGTCTTCAGGCTCCCTATCTTAAGTAGTTTAAAAAGTAGGGAAAAAACAGCTTTCTGAGATGTAGAAACTAAACCATATCTACCTATTACACTGCACCTACCTACCTACATTCTAGCCCTTTTTATGAGTTTCTGCTTCTCTCAATGGTACTGTGCAAAGTATTGAGCGGTTTTATATTTTAGCTTACTCATTTGTAAAGTTAAAGTAATACTGACCGTAAAGATCAGACAGCTGAAATAATAATTCCTCCAGTAAAAAATGCTACATCAGTGCAAAACAAGATTCTATTCTATTCAACAGACTTTAACAGACAAAGGAAGGAAGTACATGACCAAAATGAACCAATTACCTTTGGGCTTTTCTACAAGTCTCTGGCACGCTTCCTTCACTTTAGAAAACAGTTCAGAACCTGCCAACTTTCTAGAAACCCCAGCGCGCAGCATGGCCGCTCCGGGAGTGAATTTTGAGAGCGCGGCTCCAGGTTCCCGTGGTGCTTGGGGATGCTTTGGCAGAAGTCCAGACCAGTCTACATCTATCACGTCCAGAGGATCTGCAAAGGCGAGTAAGGATGTGGATGTTTCCCAAATAAGGAATGTCATCCTGGGGAAAGCTATTAAGGGAAGGGAGTATGCCTTCTTGCTATTCTATGTCATGTCTAGAATATTAGTTTAATTCAAATTTATGCTATAGTAGATGTTTTTTAATGCAATCAATGCATACTTTATGCTTGGTTATAGAAACATCACAAGAGGCATACTTGCCCATTAACATTTTACAAAACAATACATCATAATCAAAGCCTGCATAAGGATAGGACCAGCCTTCCTATGACGCTTCTCCATAAACTTCAATTCCAAAAACCCCACCACGATATGGAGGTGACCGCAGGTTTTTTAAAGTGTTTTTGATAATGAGATGCAAAGCTCTAGCATATCTTAGAATGTGGGCTCTGTAACAAAGCAGGCAGCTATTATGGGGTAGTCAGCCAAGTTGAGAGGCTCCACACCAGGTAAGCCGTCAAGGAGATGAACTACTCTGGCCATAACAATTCATGAAGACTATCAGCTAAGAGGGATTTTGATTTATATTGGCCACACTGATTAAACTGTTGTTCTTTTGAAGTACTGCAGTATATATAAAGTATTCTACTCTACCTAATATTGCATTAGTCATAGGATGTGCCTGTGTTGATGCTGGCTTTATAAAATGTGGACTGTAATTTTACTACTTAAAATATTCATAGGTCTGTAGTTGTTAAATTTTGCTTCAGTGAATGGCCTTAGCAAAAATCTGCTTTCAAAGTTAACAACCAGTAGGCTGAACACTTGGTGATGAATCCTTTGGTCATGGAAACCCATGAAACAAAAATAATTTTTATAATTTTGGTCCACAGTTCTATGCCCCTTTCTCCCTTTCTACTTCTGCAGTGACAATGGCAGAGTGGCAAAAAGGAAGGGCACAGGGTGCTAAGAAACACAGCTTTTAGACCATCTACATAATATTAACAGTTGTTACATCTATAAAATGTGAAATCCTTGTCCAATTTTTAGTAACTGAACATACTACTGGAAGAACTAAGTCACAGCTCACAATAAAGAGAACGAGAAAAAGGAATATACAGCCAAGTGGAAGGATGGCTTAGGTTCTCTTTGGAGAGGCAGAAGTGGTTTTATTGTGTGTCCAAATGAAAGAAAGAACGTTATTTCATGGAACATTTGGTCATCCCATCTTGCAGTGTTCATGATTAAATATTTGCAAAAAGACAACCATGATTGCAGCTTAGTCACCAACTGTGAAATCAATGAAAATTAGTTCTTTGATGATTTTTATTGACACTTTCTGAATTAAATTAATATATACTTTGAGTCTTGATGATTTCAACACAAAGATGGAAGAGAGGATATTAAAAAAGTGTTGGAAAATATAGTTTAAGCCTAAAAATTTAGAAAAGCCAAAGTACTGTAGATTATACAGAAGCCTCTACATCACAAACACTTTCTTTGAGAAATCTTGGAAGATTGAAAAATTCAACCAAGATTTTTAAAGCAAACTTTTCACCATCCATGAAAGTAGAAGCATCATATTTGGATGCTAATGTGCTTATAAAATAAGTAGAAAAAGTCATATGGAAAGGATGGTAAAATTAATTCCACTAAGCAAGTATTCACAACGGTCTGTGCTACAGGAAATAAAACTACAAAAACAATGAAAGACTGGTACCTGAAGACAGGGAAGATACCAAACGTGTCAGAAAAAAAATACAGAAATTCATTACTACCAAGAATGTCAACTGAGAGAACATCAACTACTACCTGTCAATAATACAGCTGCTCTCCCACTTACATAAACTTTTTTTATGAGAATAAGCTACATATGCATATTGAGGGCATCTTCTGAAGGGAGAATCAGGAAAAGGCAGGCATTTTGAAGTGCTACCATACAACAGACCACTTCTTCACTATCATGCACCCAAATGAAAGATATAGGAAATGCAACATATCTCACACTGTGATTCTTACTTGTTGATAATAAAAAAAAAACAAAAACAAAAAAAAAATTGGCTTTGGAAGAGCAATATGCCACCTTCATGGGCTTCAAGTGAAATAAACCCCATGGATGTATCAAAATTTCCAAGATAACTTGAAAGATGTAACAGAGATAACCTTGTTCAACAACTATCTATTATAAATATCAGGCAACAAAGAAAACAGGGAGATATTTACAAACACCAACAGTATTCCCCGTTGTCATGAAGGATATGTAGTAGAAAGAGTCTGTATTTATACATAATAGGGTCTTCCAGACATTAACTGATGGCAAGCTCCTGATATCACAGAGATCTATAACTACTCAAAAGAGTTGACTTAACTATATAGCAGGATAAATCAAATGGCTTAAGATTACCTATTGTCTAGACTATGATAATGCTGTTGAATTTACAACATACAGAACTTCAACATATATATTAGACTCTGAAAAGAGATAATGGCCTGGGCTCAAAATTAACAGGAAGAGGAGAGCAAGCCAGATTACAGTTCCTTTGGGAAACTGCAAAGGCCTTTTAATATAGTCTCTAAAAAAATGAAAATAAATATTATCCAGAGAACAATTATAAATAGGAATACAAAGGAGAAATAGAAGAAAAGATTTCATCTAAAAATATATATACGTAAAAAGAAGATGAGCTAATCATTGGGCAAGAATGAAGGATAAGGAATGGACAACCCACACGTTCCACTGATATCATCTCCATCATCACCAGAAAGACTTGAGGATTCAACCCAGCACTGTGGGTAGTTTGTGGCAAACTTATGGAAGGATAAGGACAAGAGCCACACAGGACGCAAGCATAAATGGATTACAATCCTCACTGTAGGAGGGAATAAACCACACAGAAGAGATCATAGATCCATCTGAGCATTTAAATATTGTTGATTATAATTACAATTGTCCCTTTTACAGTGAAAATCCAGGCTCATTTTTATTAAATGAGCCAAAAAAAAAAATTTTTTTAAACTAGGTAGCCTTTGTACTCAGTTGCTACTGCAACTGTTTACCCAAAACATAAATATACTGATGATGGGGATGTAAATTAGTCTAGCAGGTTTGGAAAGTAATTTGGAAGTATTGACCCCCAGCCCCAAAAATTACTAAACTGTATATAGTCTTTGACTAACTACTTACTACCTACTCGCTACTACCACTACTACTGCTACCACTCCCACTCCTACTCCTAATACTACTACTGCTACAGAGATCAAAGAAAAAGGAGAACCACTATGTATAAAAATATTTATAGCTGCTCTTTTTGTGGTGGTAAAGAAATGAACATTGAGGGGGTGTTCATCAGTTAAGGAATGGCTGAACAAATTATGGTAGATTAATATAATAGAATATTATTGTGCTATAATAAGAAAAGGGACGATTTCAGAGATAGCAGAGAAAAACTGTAGTATGAAATGATGCAAAATGAAATAAGCAGAACCATGAGAACAATGTATATAATAAGAAACACACTATAATGCCCCTCAACCCCAAAAAGAAAAAAAAAACAAGCAGAAAGAAAGCTAGAATGAATCAAACAAGCAGGACAGCTTTGAAAGTTAATATGCTGAATGTATCATATACTTTAAAAGGAAAAACAACCCCTACATAATGGAGCGTCACAATTTCAATGTACAATTCTCTCCCGCTCTACACCGTGTGTGTGTGTGTGTGTGTGTGTGTGTGTGTGTTGTGTAGGTACAGAAATGCTAATTTTATCTGGAATTTGTTAAGCTCAGGGGGGGAAAAATCTAATTTAAATTAAAAAAGATACCCGGCATCTTCTCATCATCTTGTTGATCTTCTCTCTTTTCAGCATCACCTGCCAGAATTTCATCAAGTTCATCATCACTGATTGGCTCATATCCTTCTCCAGCACCAGATCCTAATGACTGTGCGTCATCTAACTTGGCTTCATCATCTCCTGCTAAGAAGATAAATTAATTTCATTATAAAGATAACTATTTACTAATGAAGAGCCTGATATGAGATTCTACTGAAGCAACTAGGTAAGGTGAGTGCTATTCAAGTCATGAAATACCAACAGCATAAAACAATTCATTTTTTGCACTGCTCAATTATTTGATTGGTTCCAGAATCAAATGAAGGCAAAAATTTATTCTGTCCCAAACCCAACTATAATAGCAAGAGATAAAAATGTAGTAATGGTCCAAACACAGTTTACTTCCTTTTGGAAAAGAAAATACACTTTGACAAAAATAGAATACACAAAAACCAACTGTGGGCTGCAATCAAGTTTTATATAAGTGGAGCTCATATTCAGATCAACATATTGAAGCCCTTCAACACATCAGAATAGGCCATAAGACGAGAAGAAATGGCTTTTCTTTCATTTTCCAGCCACAATTCCAATTTGAATTATCAGCCAATTGACAAAAAATTGACTTGCTCTTGGTTTGAGCTCATGGATTGTGTCAGACTGAGTTAATAAAGATAAAAACTAAATCCAGATGTCTATTTACTCCAAAAGACAAAAACTTCTTTGTATTATTGCCATAATTCCTCCAACGAAAGTCTTAACACAATCTATGAAAATTCATCTCAGACATCTTGCATGTGGCTATCATGAGATGAAAAATTTTCATTTTCTTCATATTTATCATACCCCAGTTTTTTCAATACTGAATTTTTACAGCCTATTTTATTTATTTCATCAGAATTCTATGATGATTTACATACATTAAGAAAGTAAAGAAGATGTCTACATTTTCCTTAATTCTTTTACCTTTAAATCAGTAGTACAAATGGAGGCTCAAATTCTCGCCATACCCAATTTTAGCTATTCTTTACAGGGTGGGCCGAGTTTTGTCTTTTAGCAAACATACACATTCTTAGATATCAGTACAAACTTAAGTGTTACACTCCAAAAATCAAAGATAAAGGGTCTATAAATTTAATGTGAATTTAACACTGAAACTATCGAGTATAGCTAATATTTCTAATCACCTATAAAATTTACTGAGCTGCAATTCCCAAAGTCCAAATAGCTGAATCCTTCAGTAGATGTAAAATATACTAATTTACTATTGTAAAATCTCACTATTCCTGAAATTATGATAATCCAGATATGGTATGCCATGATATTTAAGTATCAAAAATTTTAACTATTTGTCTTTTGAGAATTATTAGTATATTATCAGATAAATTATAAAAAAGATACAGATTATCATAAATGCAGCATATGTAATTTAAGCCTATTATAATTATAACTTAATAATTATAAATTAATTATAATTTAATTAGTTTACCTCACTTTACTTGATATTTTGTATTTACATTTTAAGTTTATTTAATTAAAAGTAATTTTAAAAAAAAATTTTTAATTGTTTTTGGTAATTCTACCTTGTTATTAGCTTCTGGATGGCCACCACCATCCCATATTATTCTGAATTAGATTTTATATCAATTAAATCCTTTTGAAACAACTGGTCCGTGAAAAGTACTGAAATTTAAAATGTTTTAAATTTTCAGAAGACTATTTAAACTAAATTTTTTGTTCAGTGCTTTTTCAGTCATGTCCAACTCTTTGTGGCCCCATTTGGGGCAAAGATACCAAAGTGGTTTGCCACTTCCTTCCCCAGCTCATTTTACAGAATAGGAAACTGAGGGAAACAGGGTTAAATGACTTGCCCGGGGTGATACTGCTAATACATGCCTGAGGTCAGATTTGAACTTGGGTATTCCTGACTCCAGACCCAGCACTCTATCCACTGCACAACCTAGCTGCCCAAACTAATATTTTTACCTAAAGATTATTCTACACTGATTTATCCTTTGTCTCAACATACATAGTTCCATAAGGTGAAAATTAACTCTAATCACAAGTGCTATTAACAACACTGCTTAGACTACAAGGAATAGTAGGATATTTTCAGATTCTGCTTCCTATAATGCCTACCTAAAATATGGGAAAATTTTACTCTTGGCCTAGGGTTTTACAGCTAATGTAGTATTTAATAAAAAATTAATTCGTTAGGTACAAAAGCTTTAAAAAGCCCTGAACTCCCATTTAGGAGTAGCCAGACTAGCCACGTTCACGTCTTCCCATTCTTGACTCTCCACACTTTTCCAATTCTGTTCCTCCCTCTATAGTCCTTCAGCTCCCTTTTATACATGCAGTCTTCTACTATTAGAATGTAAGCTTCTTGAGGGCAATGATTATCTTTATTTTTGCTTACATTTGTATTCCCAGCACTTGGCACAGTACCTGATACTTAGTAAATGCTTAATAAATATTCTATGAATCTATCATTCGGTACGCACAAATCTGCCTAGTGTATCAACTCTCCTCTTTAAAGCTCTCAACCCACCACACCAAATAAACCAAATTAATAAGATAGTTGCAACAGGGGAAGAAAAAAAAAAAAAAAAGAAGAAGAAAGAAGGCCTGTTTTCAAATGGAAGACTAAGACAATTTAGAGTCTAAGCAAGAAATTTTAGACCATATGGAAGAACAAGAAAGCAAGGACTGAGATCACCACAAGTAACTCTACTACATTTTTCACTTATGATTAAAATATATTTTCTAGACTCTAAAATATGAATATAAAAGAATTCTTAAAACTTCTTAACAACAACAGGATTCACCACAATTAATTTTTTTTCAGCCAAAGACAAGGTTTAGTAGAACATCTGTCATATTGGGCAGACAATCTAAGTAGTGGCTAGATTATAAGAATCTAAGCATCTTAATGAAGACAAGATGAACCTTATATCCAGGAAAAAGTTAATAGGATGATAGGAGAGAAAAATTTTTGCATGCTCTATTAAGATTTACTCTAAGAAATCTTATGTCCGGGGCAGCTAGGTGGCGCAGTGGAAAGAGCACCGGCCCTGGAGTCAGGAGGACTTGAGTTCAAATCCAGCCTCAGACACATAATACTCACTAGCTGTGTGACTCTGGGCAAGTCACTTAATCCCATTGCCTAGCCAAAAAAAAAAAAAAAAAAAAACACAAAGAAAAAAGAAATCTATCTCCTCTATACTTTTTTGATCTGCCTTGAAAGGAAGTATATGGTAAAACAAAATTCATAGGGTTTTTCCCTTCACCAGATTTGTTTCCTCCACAAAAAAAAATTTTCAGCTTGAACAAGAGCTTTAAGAAGAGAGTATTTTGTTTTCAAAGGCAAAGAAAGAGTAATATGCAGACTATTGTAGAGCTTACCTTCTAAGCTCTCAGTTTTCTCAGCTTCATTTACATCATCAAATCCATGCAAAGTTCCCAGGTCTTTTTCTATTCTTTCTTTCTCCAAAGCTACAGAGTCTCTGCAAATTCCCTCAAAGTCTTTCTCATGCTCATCCAGTTTTGTTTCACTGCGTTTTGAAGACTCTATGTGTGAAGAAATATCAAGAGTTCTGTCTCTATCTCTTTCACCACAATCAGGAATTTGCCTCTCTCTCTCCCTGTCCAAGTCTCTCCTTTTATCTCGCTCTCTCTCTCGTTCCCGGAGTCGGTCTCTGTTTCTTGGCCAATCTTTATCATTATCTCGGTCCCATTCTCTCTGCCTTGTTTCTCTCCTTTCCCTTTCCCGTTCTCTATCATGTTCATGTCGATCTCGTTCCTGAAGCCTTTCTCGGCTATCAAAAGACCCAGATCTTGAATGAACCTGACGATCTGACTCAGGGGAACTTCTTCTAGAACTGTGACTTCTTGAATCTTGACGATCTAAAATAAATATTATAAATACAGATATTTGTGTTATGCATTAAACTTAATAACACAAAAGGCAACATAGGCTAAAAGGGCTTCATTTTTAAAATGCCCCTTTGTTGTAAGGAGAAGTAAAGAAAAATAAATTTATAGCTGTGTGACCCTGGGCAAGTCACTTAACTCCCATTGCCTCACCCAAAAAGAAAAAACAAAACCAAAAAAGAAAAATAAATTTAGCCTAATATATGATGTTCACACATGTTCTCTACTCATGTTTAACAAGTTAACAAAATACCACCATATTTGCACATTACTTAAGAACATGCCTTTGTTCCCGCTTAAGTTTCTTACGCCTTACTTAAGTCTAAGAAACGACTCTTCTCCAAACTCTTTCCCTTCAGAAAATTCCATCCACATGAGGCAATAAGAACATTTGGTTCTCTTTACTGAAGATTCTTAGATGACCATAAGAATCTTTTCTCTAAGATAAATAAGAGAAAGGAGCACTTGAAAATTACAAAGGCTAAAGACTCACTTTGAGAAAGAAATCAGACAAGGATGAATGAGGGAGACTCAAGAAGAATAAAGAAGTCAGACAAGGTGGGGAGAGGCTTTAGCAAAAGAACAACATGGTGATGATTTAAGAAAGAAGATGAAGATTAGAGGACCATCTCTACAGGAGGAAAATAAGGAGGTGGTAGTAGCAGTGGGTTCAAGATGAAATAGGTAGAAAAGGAAGAGTAAAGTCTGAGGAAGAGAAGAGTTTGAGGAAAAGGAAGGAGGAGGGTTCAGAGAAAAAAATGGAATTTGAAGATGAAGAAGATGGGGGGGAAGGGCCAGAGAAGGAGGAGTATGTAGAAGGAAAAGTAAGTTGACAAGATAAATTAAAAGAAGGTAAAAGGTTGGCAAACTGAAAAGGAAAAAGAAGTTGGGTGTGGCTGTTAAAACTACTAAAAATCTAAACTTCCAGCCCTCATCTCTCATCAACTGCCTGTGGGACATTTTTTTTTTTAATCTGGGTGTCATGCCGGCATTTCAAACTCAAGCACATCCGAAATGGAAATCATGAATTATCTTTGCCATGAAGTATTTGCCTCTTCTAAACCCCCTAGTTTTGTCAAGAGGACTACCATCCATCCTGACTGTTCACTTTCACCCTCCCAGAGCCAGTCACTGCCAAATCTTGTCAGTTCTACCTCATAACTCTCATTCATCCCCCTCCCTTCACCTGTTGTCACAACCACCCTGTTCAGACCCTCCTCACCTCTTGGTGGGATTATTACAAAACCTGCAATTAGGGTTCTCCATGTCTCAAATCTCGGTGTCCTCAACATTGCTGCTAACTTGTATTTCTAAAGGCACAATTCTGGCTATGTCATTCCCCTACTCAAAAAGGCTGCCTATTGTCTCAAGGACTAAATACAAACTTTTCCTTTTGACGTTTAAAGCCCTTCACAATCTGGTTCGAACTTACCTAGAGGTAGTTCACTCTCCTTACACACTACACATTTCAGGCAAAGTGGCCCGCCTACGTGCTGTTGTCCATAAATGCCATTTCATTTTCTGCCTCCATGACTTTGCCTATGCAGAGCTTACTGTCCTCCCTCACCTCCACTTCTTAGAATCCCTAGTTCTTTTTAATGCCCGGCTTAAATACAATCTTTTCCGATCCCTCCAGGAATCAATTAAATATAAACTATACACAAAGCATTATCTGTATATATGTTGTTTTTCCCTAATGGAATGTAAGCTTCTTGAGAACAAGGCATTTCATGTTCGTTCCATTAAATTGACAAGATGAAAACAGAGAAAGATCTCTAGAAAGTTCATGAAAGCAATTTTCTAGGGGGAGCTACTAGCCAAGAACTCCATCGTCAATGATCTCATTTTTATCAAGTATAGAGAGCAGGCAGAATAGTGTAATATACTGAACTGGCCATGTTGTCTGTACTTCTGAAACAAAGGACGGCTATTAACAGTCACAGTACAAGTTTGTCTCCTGGGGAAACAAAGCAGGTTTAGGAAACCTTCAAAGATAAAAGGGAGAATATTAAATGTGTCTTTAAAAAAATGGAAGGAGGACTTCAATGTGAACACAAAAAAAGAAACCTTAAGAGGCTGAGAGGAATCAAGACTTGTAGTAGGAAGTTCAAGGGTAGAGTATGATATAGAAAAAGGAAGGGAAGCAGCCCAACTGAACACTCAAACCAAAGAAACAAAGATGAAGGAGCTCAACTTGGTTATTTAAAAAAAAAACTATCCTAAGAATGAGGACCACAGGTGCTGCCAGGGAAGCGACTGTTCACTCAGAGCAAGAAGGGATGAGTAGCAAATGCTACCAACTCCCTGATGAAGGGGTCCCCTCTGTCTCCTCAGGCCTCTTTTCCTTATTTTGAACTGAAGCCACTCTCACATTTTCTTAAAGGAACATGTAGTTCTCCATGATCACCTTGAAGGTGGGGAGGCATTGCTAAAGGGATACTGAGGCAGCTTCCTTGTCACCCTGATAACTCTGAAGAGAAGTCTGCTCTCTTCATTAGGCATGTATCTAAAAAGTAACCTAGGAACCCTCAAGACTCGTCCAACTTGGTGACTACTACTGACTTCTGATGATTAATTTGGGTACAAATGATATTTCCAGAAAAAAAATGTAGAAAGCAGTGCTAAAGATTATGAAATTTTGAGCAAGAAACTAAAGGCTTTATTGGCACAGATGGTGAGGTTGTTTTTTTTTAATAAATCATTCTTGCTGATCAAAAGACAACGGCTTCAAGAAAGAAAGGCTGGTTAAGATGTGCCCCTTTGGGGGGGGGGGGAGCAGTACAGGATGGAAGGCGTCCCAGCAAGCCAGTGGCAAGTCCCACCTCAGCAAACCAGGGGGACTATATCTCTGGATCACAGAGTAAAACAAGTAATAGCTTCCTGGTAGGAGAATAGGAAGGTACATTTAACAAGGAAGCTGGTGAAGAACAAATTTGCAAATCAAATCAAAAGGGTTTCAAAATAAAAAGGAAGGAGGCAGGAAAAACTTTTTTCATAACTGCTAGATACAGCTACAACAGAGGAAAAAATTAGTCACCAAGCACTTAGTAAGTGCTTAGAAGTCAACTAATGTAGACAAACAGACCAGTTTAACTGGATCATAAAGTGAACTGAGGACAGTAAAGTGTAAGAAAACTGAACGAGTAGGAAGTAACCAGGTTATGAAGGGCTTCAAATGCTAAACAGAGAATTTTAGTAAGCAGGAGCCACTGAAATTTATTGAGTTGGGGGGGGGGGGGGATGATATAATCACATCTGAGCTTTAAGAAAATCGCTTTGGGACTTCCAGGAGCCAAGATGGTGGGGTAAGAAGTAAGTCACTCTCACTCTCCCTTATTAACCTCTGAAAGTGCAGAAAATATCACCCCAGGAAAAACCCTGGAACAGCAAAGCCAGCAGAAAGAGGGGATACAGTAGTCTTGTAGCCCAGGAAGCTTGGGTGATTAATGGGAAAGCTCCCTTGTGCTCTGGGGGAAGGGGAGCAGAACAGGATGAAAAATCAATCAGCAAGCCAGTGGCAAGTTCCACCTCAGCAAACCAGGGGGAAATCCTGAGCCCCAGGGTGGTGGAGCAGGCAAGCATCAACACCAGGACACCCCACCCCCCTCCCCACCCACAGGAGTGCCTCAGCATAGGCAGGGGAACCAGTAAACACCAACTGGGAAAATCACTACGTGCACCAGTGTTCTCCAACAGCCAAATCTCCTGGTGCTTCACCACAACTCCAGATTGGCAGACATCCTCCAGGGGCCAGACTCCCCATCCCAACCCTGAGAGCTCCAGTGCTACTGACCCCAGCTCAGCACCAGGTAAGCTGCCAGACCTGTACAGCCTCCAGCTAACAGCACCTGAGGCCCTGGCATGCAAAGCCAGTGACCAGGTCCTCGGCTCCCAGCACAAGAAGCTTGGATCAGTGCCCCCTGCGCCCCCCGGGGGAGAGCTCAATTTTAAAAGCCAGGAAATAGGCAAACATCATGAGCAGAAAGCAGAAACAGACAATGACCACAGATTCTTATTATGGGGACAGTGAAGATCAAGGTACAAATTCAGAAGAGAACTCATATCCAAAACCTCAAAGGGAAATATGAACTGGCCTCAAGCCCAAAAAGTCTTCTTGGAAGAGATCAAGAAGGATTTTTAAAAGTCAAATAAGAGAAGTAGAAGAAAAATTGGGAAAGGAAATGAGAGGTATGCAAGAGAGAGTCAATAGCTTGGAAAAGGAAAGACAAAAATTGACTACAGAAAACAAGTCCTTAAAAAATACAGTTGGTCAAATGGAAAAAGTACACTGAAGAAATCAACTCCTTAAAAAGTAGAATTGGACACATGGAAAAGGAGGCACAAAAATTCACTGAAGAGAAGAATTTCAAAAGTAAAATGGGCCAAATGGAAAAGGAGGTACAAAATCTAATAAAAGGAAACAATTCATTAAAAATTAGCATCGGGCAAATGGAAGATAATGACTCTATGAGATATTAAGAATCAGCCAAACAGAAACAAAAGAATAATAAAATACCTTATTTTGGTAAAACAACTGACCTGGAAAAGAGGTCCAGGTGAGACAATTTTAAAATTACTGATTTACCTGAAAACCATGATGAAAAAAAGGGCCTGGACAACATCCTTCAGGAAATCATCCAAAAACAAAAACAAAACAAAAAAAAATGCCCTGAGGTCCTAGAACCAGAAGGCAAAATAGTTATAGAAAGAATCCATCACATCACCTCCTGAAAGAGATCCCAAATTGAAACCACAAAGAAATATTGTAGCGAAATTCCAAAATTACCAGGTCAAAGAGAAAATACTGCAAGCAGTCAAAAAGAAACTATTTAAATATCATGGAACCACAGTCAGGATTACACAGGACCTTGCAGCTTCTACATCAAAAGATGGGAGGGCATGGAATATGATATTCCATAAGGCAAAGGAGCTTGGATTACAACCAAGAATCAACTACCCAGCAAAACTGAGCATAATCTTTCAAGGGAGGAGATGGACATTCAATGACTTCCAAACCTTCCTGATGAAAAGACCAGAACTCAACAGAAATACAAATACAAGACTCAAGAGAGGCATAAAAATGTAAACAGGAAAGAAAAAAACACGTTATTGTAAACAAACTGTTTACATCCCTAGAAGGGAAGATGACACCTGTAATTCTTGAGAACATCATTATTACAGAACACATACACAGAGGTTGTGGGTATAAGGTGACTGATGTGATGATAAAAAAAATCTAAGTGGTAAAAAAGGATTGTTCTGGGAGAAGAGTAAAGAAAGAGGCAGACAAGGGTAAATTACATCACATCAAAAAGCACAAAAACCTATTACAGTATAGAGAAAGAAGGGAGGGAGATGAGCTTTGTTTGAACCCTGCTCTCATCAGATTTGGCCCAAAGAAGGAATAACCTAATCAGGGATAGAAATCTAACTTACTTTATAGGAAGTAGGAGAGAAAAGGGGAAAGAAAAGGGAAGCAGTGGATAGAAGAGAAGGAAGTAGTAGTAAGGGTAAAGGGGAAGAAAAGGGAGGAGGCTGACAGGAAAGAGGACAGACTGAGGGAGGCAGTGGTCAAAAGCAAAACTCTACTGAGGAGGAAAATGGAGAAAAAGAGAAAAGCATAAGGGGGGGGCAATAGGATGGAGAGAAAGACAGATAGTAACCACAACTGTGAACGTGATGGGATGAACTCTCCCATAAAACGGAAGTGGATAACAGAGTGGATTAAGAACCATAATTCTGCAATGTTGTTTAAAAACCTGGAAAGACTTATACAAACTGATGCTGAGTGAAATGAGCGAACCAGGAGAACACTGTACACAGTTAACAGCCACATTATGTGATGACTGACTTTGACAGACTTAGCTCTTCTCTCCAATGCAAGGATCTTAGACAACTCCAAAAGACCCACGATGGAAAATGCTATCCACATCCAGAGAAAGGACTCTGGAGCCTGAATGCAGATGGAAGCATACTATTTGCTCTCCTTTTCTTTTGTTGTTTTGTTTCTTCTTTCTCACGGTTCCTCCCATTAATTCTAATTATTCTTTACATCACGACTAAAGTGAAAATATGTTTAATATGAACGTATAAGTACAGCCAATATCAGATTGCATGCTGTCCTGGGGAGGGGGGAGGAGAGAGAGAAGAAAATTTAAAACTCAAAATCTTATGGAAGTGAATGTTGAAAACTAAGAATAAATAAATTATTAAAAAAAAAGAAAAGAAAATCACTTTGGCAGCTAGCTGATAGATAGGAGTGGGAACGGCCTTGAGACAGAGAGACTACAAGGCTAGAGCAATGGTGCAAGCAAGAGGTGCTAGAGGGCCTATATGGGGACAGTAGCAGTATAAGTAATGAGGATATACAAGAAACTGTGAAGGTAAAAACAAAATTTGACAACAGCTTGGCAACGTAGGTTGATTGTGAGGATTTGAGGAGAAATACCTAGATATTCACAGGAATCCAAGCAAGCTGTCAATAATGACATTCTGGATCTGATTCTAATTTCCATTACCCAATCATTTTTCCTCCGCTATGATAAGCCGATCACCTGAAATCTTATCACCATGCAGACCAACTCAGCTACTGATATCCAGGAGCTTCTCCCTCACTTGCCTCTCCCCTCTCACAGGAGAAAGAGCAAGTAAAACTTGTAACTCCTCCCCCAAAGCCTTCCTTTATAGGGGGCTCAGAATTTTCCAGGTAATTATCTTTCCATTAGCACCTCTAGTTGGTCGTGACTCCGAGGAATATTATGCCTCTGCGCTGTGTACCCCCTGGTGACTTCTCCCTTTTCCAGCTTCCTTCTGTGAAATGTCTTTCCTTGAAGGCAGGGGCTAGCTTTCTTTTTCTTATTTGTATCTCCAGCTCTTAGCACAGTGTCTAGCATATAGTAGATGCTTGATAAATGTTTAATGAATTAAACCAAATTGATTCTCATTAAGAATAAAATGGTTGCTAGTAAAAAAAAAAAAAAATAAGGACCTTAGGGGGAAGTAACCATCTTACAATTCATGAGAGTGGTAGAGAGAAAGGCCAACCATAGTCTGATATAAATCCTAGATTTCAGGAGATCAGAAATCAAAGGAACAGGATAGAGTCCTGCAGGCTAAGATTAAGTAAGGGAAGTTAGTCAGGAGCGGTGGGAAACTTTCAAGAACAAAATTCTGAAGACATAAAGAGAAATGTGGGGGAAAAAAGAGAAAGCTATCCAAAAAGATTGATGTGGATACACAAGGAGAGCAACCAATACGGATTCTGTGTACAGAAGATGTAAAAGCATGTAACAGAATGAATACAAAAGTTTTGCATGATTTTATAAATATAGTATCAGGAGTGGTAAAGCTGAAAATGAGCTTATACTCATAAAGAACAGTAAGGAAAACAGCAATGGTAATAAAATTTACATTGAGGAAAAGAGGAGTTAAAAATAAGGATAGGGCTTCAGCTAAGGGTGGACAGGACAATAATAATGAATGAATACAAGATAAAGATGCTCAAGTTTTATTTGTGTCTTCTCTGCTAAGGATAGATTTTTACAACAGAAAAGAAAAAATAGCAAATAAGTGGATACTCAAGATAAATACAAGTTATTAAGAATTTAACTAGATGTCCTTAACAAGTACAAGTCGCCAAGTCAAGATGAATTATATCTTTCATCCTTAGGTAGCAAAAGAACTATCAGTGTAAAAACTAGTCAAGCATTTTTGGTGATTTTATTTTTAAAGATCATGATATGTGGAAAAGGTACCACGTGGATTTGAGAAAAGGCAAATGTCTTAATTTTCACAAATAACAAGAAAAAGAAATCTGTAAACGCTAAGTCAATAAGTCTGTCTCTCATTTCTGGTAAATTCTAAAATGTACTAATAAAATGGTTGGTCACCAAACATCGATGAAAAATAAAAAAAAACAAAACTATGATCCCAGGGAGCCAGTATGGCTTCATCATCAATAGACTATGCCAGACTAAGTTCAGTTCCTCTTGCAACAGGGTTACTACATTAATAGGTAAGGGAAACACTTCTGCTGTAGTTTACTTAGATTTCAACAGAGCACTTAACAACTTCATGCCAGTCTTGTGGAAAAGATGGAAAGGTAAAGGCTAGACGATACTTCCGTTAAGATTTTGAGTTTTAAATTTTCTTCTCCCTCTCCTCCCCCTCCTCCCCCCTCCCCAGGACAGCATGCAATCTGATATTGGCTGTACTTATACATTCATATTAAACGTATTTTCACTTTAGTCGTGATGTAAAGAATAATTAGAATTAATGGGAGGAACCATGAGAAAGAAGAAACAAAACAAAACAACAAAAGAAAAGGAGAGCAAATAGTGTGCTTCCATCTGCATTCAGGCTCCAGATTTCTTTCTCTGGATGCGGATAGCATTTTCCATCGTGGGTCTTTTGGAGTTGTCTAAGATCCTTGCATTACTGAGAAGAACTAAGTCTGTCAAAGTCAGTCATCACATAATGCCCTTTCAAGTTAAAAATACTACAGTTAGGTGTATTTAACATTGGTTTAATAGTCAGACTAAAAAAATACTAATTTATTATTTGATGACAACTTGGAAAGAGGTCTCTAGCAGAATGTCCCAGGGATCTGTGCTTGGTTCTGTGCTGTTTAATATCTTTATCAATGACTCAAAGTCAAAGAGGCCATGGTTATCAAATTTACAGAAGACACAAAACTGGGAAGGATAGCTAAGATACTAGTCAGTCATAATCAGGATTTTAAAAGATCCTAACATGCTAGAACTCTGGGCCAAATTTAATAGTGATAAATGTGAAGTCTTATATTTAGATCTCTCCCCAAAACAATTTCAAAAACACTTTTGGGGACACATGGCTAGATAAAAGGTAATGGGGAAAAGATCCAAGGCTGATCAACTAGCGAACTTTATGCACAATATGAATCAACTATGATATGGCAGCCAAGAAAGGTAATATAAGAGTAAGCTACATTAAGAGGAGTAGGATCTAAGACTAGGGAGGCGACATTCCAACTATACTCTGACCACATCAGGAGTAGTATGTTCAGTGGGAGGGGGAGCAAAGCAGATGGAAGAAAATGAAGTTGTAGTAATTACTATGAGACCTGATATGGTCTCCTTTGCTCCTATAACCAGCTCCTGCAGAAGGACGTACACATTCCCTCACCACTTCTACAACACCTTGCTCCATATAATTCTAAGCTCCAATGTCAGGTTCTCAACAACTTAACCAACTCTACCAAGTTTTATCAATTAAGTACTACTGTTACACTACTTCAAGTTAAAAATGACTGTCATCATTGGAAATACTATTAATATGACACTGAAATTCAGTATTGAAAAAGTAGGATGGAGGTCAGGAATTATTAGAAGGTACAACCTTTAAAACTTATTTCCAAAATTAAGAGATTATTTTAAAGCATTACATAAAACTACCCAGCTTATTATTCTAGTAAGGTTGTATTTTTTTAAAAGTTATACGAACAGAGAAGACATTGTTTCCATAATTGGAAAAGCTATTAAATTGTGCAGAACTTTGTTTAGTTATCTGACAGGGGTTTTAGTTACCTGACAGCAGGAATGTGACTACCTATAAATGCTGCAATATAAGCTAAAATAGTAAATGCCAAAAAATTTTATATGTATCATTTTCAAAAAGACTTTAATTTATGCTAGCTTCTTTTTGTATGCAAAATGTTTTGCTTTCAGATCCATTGCCTAACATAAGAAGTTCATAGTAGCTCCTTTACCTATTAACTAGAAAGTCATTAAACCGTTCTAAGAGGCTTTCAAGACTTGCTCAATGCTAATGGTCTATAATATGCAATTTCATTATCATCCACAGCTAATAAAAAGACACACAAGTGGTAGACTAAGATTCCTTTTTTTTTTTAAACCAATGTAACCAAAATCTATGGACTCCACTTAATTACCTGAAGAAGTACTGCGACTGGGCTCCCCACGCTTCAACTGATCAATTCTGGATTTTCTCTCTCCTGGAATTTCTAAGCTTTTTGTCTTTTCTCTGTCTCTGGAGCTACTGTGCAGGACTCTCTTTCTACCAGTCAGGTCATCTCCACTGCGATGAGCAGAATCATTGGAAGGTGATCGCAGGCGACTAGAAGTGTGACTACGGTTACTACGATTGCTTCCCAAGCTGCTACTGCGTTTTTGATCAATTGGCTTGCGATGAGGTGCATCTTCTATGGTAACATGAGGTGTTTCTATTTTCTCCACTCTAGTTCTGTGACACTTTCTATGAGATTCTTCAGTTGAACGCTCAGGTACAATCACATCTGCACGGTCAGGGACATCTTCATCAGACCAGTCACTAAATGTGGTATCTTCTCTTTTCTGGGAAACCTCTCCAGTTGTTCCATTTTTCTCATTTGATATCTCAACCAACTCCTCTTTTGTGGTCGCAGGTGGTGTCCTTGGGCCTTTTTTCTTCTTACTATGCTGAATTAACTCATCATCAGAAATATCAGAATCCCCTTTCGATCTTTTACGTTTCTTTTCAACATTTTTCTTCTTCTGTCCTTTCTTAGGTGAAAATACTTGACCCTCCTCTGTTGCTGACTCAGTGCTGTATCTTTCCACTCCAACATCTTCCTCTTTCTTTCTCTTAGTGGTCCTTTTGGGTATTTTGGACTTCTTCTTGTTTTCTTCATGTGCTCGATCAGACCCATCTCGCTCCTCAGGCTGGTGGTGTCCAACACTTTCTTGTGCACGTGTCCTTGAGCTTTCTGCTACTTCTGGCTGCTCCCCTCTTTGCTTGTCTCCAGAAGAGACTCTCTCTTTGAGCTCCTGCTCTTCATAGCGTCTAGAGCTCTCTTTTCTTTCTGGCTTTCGGTCTTCATCTTTCCATCGGTTCTGCCTATCTTCTGCCACGTGCGAAGGGCTAAGTGAACGAGATTCCTGAGGTCGTACAACCTGGCTCAACAGTCTATGTTTGTCATCTATTCAAATTTGAAAGAGAAAAGGCAAGAATGAAGCATTACATGTAACAAATGGCAACAAATTCTATCTCCTGCCAAATATTCAAGGTTTAGAGAGAAAATGTTTAACATAAACAGTATATTTCAGAAAATATAGACATACAGCTTGGCCACCAATGTTAAAGCAGGTTTTTAATCATAAAAGCTATTATTCTAAAGCAAGTGTTTACCTAAATGAAGCTATTTAGTAACTGAGATGAGGAAAATGATCTCATATTAAGTCAACAGCTCTTACTGTCAATAAGTTTATAGTTAACAAGTGAGCAAAAATACTGTAGTAAAGTTAATTACGTCATGCTTACTTTTATCATCTCCACTATTGTAGGTGTCACTATCAGGAGAATGTTCACGTCGGCGTTTGGGTGACAGTCGAGGACTAGGACTGTTTTCAGTTCTATGGCGCTTCCTAAATTGGGAGAGTAACTTTAATTTAGCAAAACCAGATGAAAGGAAAAAAGTTTCTGCACTTCAATAGTTGTTAGAACTAAGAGTAGTACAGTCTTATTACAAAACATCTGTCCCAGACATAAAATCCCAAAAATTAATCCACAATTTTAATGAAATATTAGCTCCCTAGCAAATTAATTACCAAGATCATTTTTCTTTACTCAGTCATTTAAACAAATAATGCTATGGTAATTTTATATCCTGAAGTTTAACTGAAGCAAATTAATTATCAAAACAGAGTGTAGAAGGAGCCTTAGCAAACATCTGCTTTCTTTGCCAAATAAAGAGAAACGGGTTCCAAAAGCAATACGAGGTTAGAATATAAGCTCGTTTATAAAATCTTCTAAAGACAGATGACAGACTATCATAAGCAGGATCTACTCATAAAGTAAAGAAAATTAAGTGCAGGAGGTAACATCAGTGAAAGAGATCTATCACAGAATACAGGTTGAAGAAAGATTCCTTGCAGATGGTAAGGTCCTCCTTAAGTTCCTGTTTACTACTGACACAGTGCTGATTACATCAGACCAAGACAGTACAGAGTAACTTTCTGGAGGTCAGCTATAATCACTCAAAGGAGTTTGGCCCATCCATCCACATAAGAAAGACTAGGTAGATGAAAAATGCTTTTGCTAAGGTATCAATATGCATTTAGAGGGCCACCCTATAGAGCTTGTCCAACTGTATGCATCTGGGATCTGGAATAGAATCAGGGACAGACAATTAATATAAGCGGATAATAAGTTGGGCCCAGAGTTGAAAAGACGGATGAGAGAAGATTGAACTGCTTTCAAAAGACTGTAAAGCTCCTTTACTTATGCCAAGCATCACATGAAAATAAAGGTCCACCTTTTTATACTAACATTCTGCCAGTGTTGGTGTACTACAATAATATATGGAATACAAGTATCTCTGAAGAATTTTTTAAAATGCATATCCCAAAGAGGGTAATGGAGACACAAATGGTGGGTTGCCACCACCCAAGCTGCAACATATAATCACTTAAGATGTAAAAGATGTTATCAAGGAACTCTCAGATATGAAGAAAAGCTGCTCACATGGGAGGAATGAGGGATAACAGGTAGATACAGCCAGTGTTCCGCTGATAACATCAACGTCAAAAGAAAGGAAGGAAAGTCTCCATCATGTTGGATGGACCTTATTGGTGAACTTAGGGAAAACACTGACAAGAATAGCATAGGATAAGCAGACATGGATGCATTGCTATCTGTACCACATATGGGAGAGATCTACCAAATCAATAAGAGAAAGTCTTTATTATACTCAGTATTTGAGTATTAATTCAAAGGAAGGGGGGAGGGGAGAAGAAGCCTATCTAATTACAAATTTAGAATTTCACATTTTCATTGTGTTTCTTGTAGGTATACAGCAACAAAAGCATTTTTTTCTAGGTTGAATTTTAGTCAGTTGTGATTAAGATCTGATGGGAACCTAAATTACTCTAGTATTTCTATTTCCATTTAGATCTTTTATTTTCTGCCCCTATTTTATTTATCTAGTATAAAGGCTACGTAACCTATGGTGAAGATATTTACAAATAGGTTAAATATTCAGATACCAAAAGGGGGGGAAGGTGTATGCTAAAAGATTAGATCTGTAATAAATAGCCTCCAAACTTCTGAAAGAACTCTCTACTAATGCCTCAAATATGCTATGGTAAGTCCGATTAGCAGTGCAGCATACCGGAAAAGAGCACTGGATTTGAAGTGGGAGGAGCAACTTTAAATCCTAGCTTACCTGTGTGACACTGGGCAAGTCACTTCTCTCAGCCTCAATTCCCACATGGGTAAAATGAAGGAATTAGGACTAAATGGTGTCTAAGGCCCCTTTCAGCTCCAAATTTATGATCATAGGAACAATTTTGTTGAAATTACCACCTTCATATTAACCCTTACTAGAAACATATTACAGCCCAACAGAATGATGTTTGAGATTCCCCTTCAAACACAACAGTTCAGATACTCAAAAAGGCCTTTTTAAATCAAATCAAATTAAATCAAAGAGCTGAATTATCTCCTCTTGTCCCAGTGAATATGCAAGAAAAATTGTATCTTTCCTCTGAAAGATTCAAAGTACATTAGACATAGAATTTTTAATAAAATAAAAAATCAGAGAAAGCCAGGAAGGGGCAAATGTGGAATAGAAAATTAGAAGACAGTATAAAGAAGAAATAGTAGCAACTTAAACTGAAGGTAGGTAATGCTCACATTTGAATAAAAATTCTAAAAATGCTACTGATACATTTTCAAGGTTCTGTAAGGAACAATATGATGGGTATGATTAAAAGTTAAACAGCTTTTTAACTCTTGACTCTAATGCACTAATAAAGTTGATTCATAATCACTCTTACTTTGATTTTCTCTCATCATGAACATCTCTTGGATTCCTGTCTTCTCGAACATCTTCTCTTTTTTCCCTTCGATCTTCTCTGCCTTTGTCTTCCCAATCCCTTTGACGATCACGTTCTTTATCCCTTTCTCTCCCTCGTTCTCGTTCTCGCTCTCTTTCCCTTTCACGTTCCCTCTCTCTTTCTCGTTCTTCCCTCTCCCGTTCCCTTTCTTTTTCCCTCTCTCGTTCTCTCTCTCGTTCCCTCTCTCGTTCGTGTTCTCGATCTCTATCTCGATCACGTTCTCTCTCTTTTTCCCTTTCCCTTTCCCTCTCCCTCTCCCTGGCACGATCTCGTTCTAATTCTCTCTCTTTTTCTCTCTCCCTGTCGCGTTCCCGTTCCCTCTCTCTCTCCCTCTCCCTTTCTCGTTCTCTCTCTCTTTCTCTAGCCCTCTCATCTCTTCTGTCCTCAGTCCTGTCTATTCTTCGTTCCTCTCTCCTTTCATCACGCTCAAGTTCATCACTCCTTCCTTGATGGCGTACTGGTGAGTTTGGTCTTGGATCTACAACAAAAATAAAGTTTTACTAATGAATAATTTGATTTACATGTTTTTTGAATCAGAATACATCATTAAAATGCTCAAATTTTATCCTAGTAGATAACAGGAACATAAACTTAGAGCTAAAAAAGACCTTGGAAGCCAGCTAGTTCAACCCCATCATTTTACAGAAGAGAAATAAAAGGCTAGAGAGGTTATGTGGTTTGCCCAGAGTCACAAAGATATTGATCCACATCAAAGGCAGAATTTCCTACCAAGTTCTGACTCTAGGACAGTGCTCTCTTCATTGTACTACATCAGTGGGAAAAATACCGATTATGTTTACTAATAGCCATGTATAATTGTCACAGGTATATGTATATATACAGGTAGATAGACATAGATATAGTTATGTGTGTATTTTGCCTTTTGGTGAGGCAATCAGGGTTAAGTGACTTGCCCAGGGTCACACAGCTAGTAAGTGTCATTTGTCTGAGGCTGGATTTGAACTCAGGTTCTCCTGACTCCAAGGCCAGAGCTGATCCACTATGCCACCTAAAAATTCCTCCATATTCTCCAATCCACAACTCTCACTGCATTCATATCTTTACGTGCAAAGATGGGCTCCATCACACTGGTCCAGTTTCACTTTCCACCCATTCTACTCTTCAGGTATCATCTCTACGTTCTCAAGACTCAAGGAAATCACTCACAAAAATGGAAAAGAGCAGCAGGGTAGACAAATACAGAATGTAAATGGGAATAGGAAAGGGCTAGGAGGTGGGCTAAGGGAAGGTTAACAATTACACTCATAATATTCATACTCATACCTTTTGGCTACAACAGGCAAAAAGATACAAGGGGGTTTTGAGGGAATAAATACATTAAAACAAAGTATGAACTCATTTCAAAAGGCTGGAGAGCTTTATGGATTTTTATGTGCCAAAAGCTTAGTAACCTCGAAATGATATTCAAAAGTAAAAAAGCAAAAATTGTTTTGCTTTTGCTTTCAATGAAAATTGAAAAGTATCATGTGATACTTAGCAATTAGTGTCTAGTAATTAAAATGTTTAATCTATTAAATGACTGATTACTCAGGTGGATTTTTACCTAGGATGTTAGTTTATTAACAACTGCTAAATTATGCATTTTTTCAAGTAAAATAAATACTACTGTATTATGAGCACATAACTACTTTGTGCATTCTATATCTGTGTGTGAGAGAAAGAAAAGCTACATGAAATGTTAAAGTTGTCCTACTGCTGAATTGAGTGACCATGTTCAGAACTATGACTGAAAAGTTGAGGGATAGGTTGCTGGATAAAGCATAACATTTGAACATGTTCAATATAGAACTCTAAAACTGTTATGATTTTCTTACATTCATACCTGAGGACTGACAGTTCGTTAAAAATAAAAGGTCATTATTACATAGCTCAGTCAGTAGACTGGAAAAAAAAGAGGGGATATGCATCAACCCACTAGGTAAGTCAATTGGTCTCAGAATCAGAAGATAAGGTTTTAAGTCTCTACTCAGACACCTAAAAGCCACGTGACACTGGACAAGTCAATTAAGCTCCCTGAGACTCAGTTTCCTAATCAAAAAAATGGGGATGATAATAAACTGACTCACAAGACTGTCCTGAGGGAATTGTTTTGTAAAACTTAAAGTGCTAAAGAAACATTAATATTAATAATATTATATATACACACAGACACACACACAGAAGTATAATGTTGATAAAAGCAAAGTTTCTAAATAAGGAGTTCCAAGCAATGAGGCTGTGACCCTCATGAAATCTAATTTTTCCTGAAACCGATCTTACCTACCTCTGCCCACAAAAATGAAGGAAGTACATTTATACAGGCAGAAGATATAAAATATTATGGAACTTAAATGGTTAAAAAAAACAGCTTTAAGGCCATTTAATTCAAACTCTTTATATTAACAACAAGGAAAATATCATTACTTTACAGGAAAATTCAACTACTTTCACAGAATCTTATAGTTATAAACAAAAAGACTAGAATCCACTTCTGGCTCCAGTGGGAACAGAGGCAGTATAGGGAATTATTGGCATGAACTGAATGGATATGGAATTGTGAAAGAGACTAGAGATTGAATTTGAGGTAAAGGAATTTGGGAAGACTCAAAGAAAACATGTATTAAGCATTTGCTATGTGCAAAACACTATGTAAAGTGCTGAGGACATGTGGAGAAAAATAAGACAAGGCCTGTTCACAAGGAGCTCACACTCTATGGGGAAAAATATCACTTTCTGAAAGAAGAGGAACAAAAGGATCCAAGCTAAAGGAGGAAAAGGATTCAGGGTCAATAAGTATTTTTGAAGTGTCTACTATATTTTAGGCACTATGCTAGGGTCTGGGGATACAGGTATAAAAGAAGGCAACAGACTCTGCTGGCAAGGAAGGAGACATAAAGAGACATGAAAAACATGTGAGGCATCAATATAAAATAGTTAAATACAAGGTAGTTTAGGAGGAAGGACACTAGCAGATGAAAGCTCAGTAAATTTTCATCTTCATATAGAAGATGGTATATGAACTATATCTTAAAGGAAACAGGGGACTCTCTGAGGCAGGGATTAAGGAGAGAGTGCATTCCAAAACTGGAGAATGGCCAATGCAAAGGGCATAGAGACAGGAGACGAGTATTATGTGTGAAGAACGGAGAAAAGGCCAATGTAGCTAGACTGCAGAATATGAGAAGGATTAATGTACAATGAGGCTGAAAAGATAAGTTGCAGCCAAGTTATATAGAGCCCTAAAATCTAAGCAGAGGAGTTTATATTTAATTTTAAGCCACTGGAGTTGATGAGGAGTCACATGGTCAGAAAACTACTTTGGCAACCTAACTGGAGTGGTGAGAGACTAGTGGTAAGAAGCCTTAATAGGAGGCTATTTTAATTGTTTAAAAGAAAGGTGATAAAGGTCTCAACTAAGGTGGTAGAGCTGTGGGAATGAAGGGGAAAGAGTTGGATACAAGAAATACTGTGAAGGTAGAAATGACAGAATCTGGCAAGTGACTGAATATAAGGAATGAGGGAGAATAAAGAGTCCAGGGTATCAAGATTACAAACCTGAGTGACAGGAAGGATGGTGGTGCCTGCAAAAGAAACAGGGAAGTTTGGTAGAAACTTAGTGGAAAGGAGGTTTTAGGGAAGGGAGAGAGGAAGATAATGAGCTTAGTTTCAGATATGCTGAATTTAAACTGTGTCTGGGGCATCCAGTTTGAAATGCCCAATAAGCAACCAGCGCTTCAGGATTGAAGGTAAAGGACCTGAGGGACTGAAAAACTGCAGAAACAAAACAAAACAAAAAAAATTGCAAAGGGACATAATGGGAAGGAAGATGAACAGAAGGAGAAGCAGGAGAACTCAATCAAGAAAAGGAGATGAAATGGGAAAAGAAGGACTCAAGAAGATCATAACAGCTGATAAGACAAGGTAATTTATACAAGATAAGAAAGATGATTTATAAATGGTTAGCAAGACTGAACTAATGTATCAATAGGGTAGAGTAGGATAGAGAGGAAGTGTCCCAAATCCTGGATTGAAGACCTATAACCAGTTAGCCCCAGGTGTTATCCAGGGAACCAACTAATACAAATGGAAAAAAAAACGCAGATCATTTCCAACAAGAATGGGAAGCAAGAAGAATTTTGCAGGGATCTTCAAAGAATGTGTGGTATTTTATTTGTCACAGAGAAGAGACTATTCATGCTCAAAGTTTTGGCTAGTCTCCTTCCCAGAGAAAATAAGCTCCAGGAACATCTATCTACTCTCCAAGTTATAATGGAGAATGAAATATTCCTTAAAAAGGAGAGTAGGGAGGGAGGGAGGAAAGGCTCCAATGTGAAAACAAAATGAAAAAACAAAAATCAAAGAGAAAGAGTGTAAATGTTCAATGTTCAATATGACAATATTAAGAGGTTGGAGGACAGAAAAAAAAATGTGAAATAGAAGGAAAAAACCTCTCAACACCTGGGAGTTAAGCAAATAAGGCTCTTCCCAAAGTGGAAGAAGCCAGACATTCTGAAAAGTAACCAGCTGCCCAAAGGGGAGGGGGAAGGGTTAACACAAGACCAGATGGATTTACAAGTGAATTCTATCAAACATTCAAAGAACAATTCCAATATTACACAAACTGTTTGCAAAAATAGGAAAAGATGGGATCCTACCAAATTCCTTCAATGATACAAATATGGTCTTGATACCTAAAACCAGAAAGAGACAAAGCAGAAAGAGAAAAGCAGAGAAAAACAATAACTCCAGTAAAGTAATAGGATACAAAATAATCCCACATAAGTCATTTGTATTTCTGCACATTATCAATATAACCCTGCAACAGAAAGGGACAGAAAAAAATTCCATTCAAAATAATTACAAAATATATAAAATATCTATTTCAGAGACATCTATCAAGACAAAAGAAAGGAATTATATAACTAACTGCAAAACACTCTTTACAGAAACAGAGCTACACCTAAAAAACTAGTGAGATATTAACTGCTCATGGTTGGTCCATTTCAATAATAATAAAAAATCTCAATACTACCTACATTAATTTACTTACTTGGTGCCATATCAATCATTTATACAGCTAAAATAATTTTCATCCCAAAGAACAAAAGATCAAAACTCTCAAGTGAGAAGGAAGGGCACTCAAAGTACTAGATCTCAAACTAAACTACAAAAATGTAATCATAAAACTATTTGGTACTGTTTTAAAAAAAAATAGAAAAGTTGACCAGTGGGTCAGATTAGGTACACAACAAACACAGTACCACAGTTTTCAATAAATTTAAATACCCCAGCTGCTGGAGTAAAGATTCAAAAACTACAAGGGAAACTGGAAAGCAGTCTGGTAGAAATCAGATTAGGAACAATAGCTCCTACTTATTCACTCAAATAACATCAAAATGGATATACATGACCTAGGTAAAAAGGTCACATAATATATTAGAGGACCAAGGAAGGTAATGTCTTTGACAACTATGAATGGGAAAGAATTCTTGTGCAGAAGACAATATAAACAATTTCAATTACACAAAATTGTAAAGCTTTTGCACAAACAAAATCAACACAGTTAAATTTAAAAGAAAAATAGTTAAATGGGAAAAAATCTTTTTAGTTTCTCCAGTAAAGGTCTGATATAAAGAATTTAAATATATAAAACCAAAAGCCATTCTCCAATAGGTAAATGGTTATAAAAAGGCAGTTCTCAAAAGAAGAAAAGCAAGCTATCAATAGCGATATTAAAAATGTTCCAGATCACTTACAATAAGAGAAATGAAAATTAAAATAATTTTAAGGATCCACCTGAAATCCATCAGACTGATAAAGATCAGGGGTCAGCAAATCCAGCTTGCAGCCTATTTTAGTAAGGGTAGCAAACTAAGAGTAGTTTTTTAAATTTTAAAATACAAAAAAATTATTTTTAAATATAAAAACTATTCTTAGTTCAAGGGCCTATTTGGCCCACAGGCAGTAATTTACGGAACCCTAAGAAAGATGACACAAAAAGATGACAGTTGTTAAAGAGAATATGTGAAGACAGGACATTATTGGTGGACCTGTGAACTGCTCCAGCAGTACAAAAATATCCATAACGGTACTTTTTGTTGTAGCAAAGAACTAGAAACCCAAGGGGTGTCCCTCAATTGAGGAATGGCTGAACAAATTACAATACATGAATGCAATGTTTTTCTTTTTGCACCACAATAATGATTTAGAGAAACCTGGGAAGATTCATAGGAACAGAAGCAGAATAATACATACAGAACCAGAAGAACAATTTATACAGTGCCTACAACATTGTAAAGAAAAACAACTTCCCTTAACAAAAAAAAAAAGAGAGACAGAGAGAGAGAAACAACTTTGAGATAAATACTTAAAAATTCTGTTCAATGCAAAGACCAATCACAACTCTAGAGGACCAATGATATCATGCTTCTCACCTTCTGACAAAGAGGTAGTAGACTAGGTGCAAATTGAGCCATAAATTTTTGGACATGGCCAATGTATATATTTGTATTGCTTGGCTGTGCTTACTTGTAACAAGAGGAGGAGTTTGTTGAGTTGGCTTTTGGGGGGGGGGGGGCAGGGAAGCCCTAAGCAGCAAACAGAAACTAGTGATGGTGACTGTCAAAAAAGAAATAAGAATGTCAATGAAATATTTTTTATTACATACTTTTTTAAAAGTACATGCTATTCATATTTTTGTGTTCTTTCTATATGGAAAGGTTAATGCTAATTGTTAACAAGTTCAAAAAGACAAAAAAAATTTTTTTTAATGGAAGCAGGTTTTGTCCAATAAGGAATAGTAAAATGGATCCAGAGAAGCCATCAGAAAGAGACTGTTCAGGATGTAATGGTCAAGAAAAAAGATATAAATAGAGATGGCTGGAAATTCTCTAATAAGAGGGCAAGTAGTTTAAAATATATCTTTTTTCCTGATCACCTCAGTTATAAATGATAGCTTTCTCTGAAATCATTTTACACTTTTCATACGGCTCTTATAAACAATAGCTAACATTTGTATCACACTTTAAGGTTTGTCAAACAATTTGCATATACAAGTTAAGTTTAAAAGGCTTAAAACTTAAAACTGCATTAAGACTTTTGGAACATCCTGTATTATGGCACCTGATGTTATTCTGTAATAAAGTTATTTGTGTTTGTATATCATCTTTCTAAGTTTCTTGAGGATAGAACTCCTTTATATCTCTATGTATCCCTTCAAAAGAACCTTAATCAAAACAGATACTTAAGAAGTATGTGTTCATTGAATGAATACAAGTGACAAGTCCATAGGTAGGGAACTAGATTATAAGGAGAAACAAGATTAAAAAACCTAATTAATGAGTTAGACCTGGAGATATAAATTTAAAAGTTATTCACATAGCGGCGGTAACTGTGGCCATAAGGGCAAGTGAGCTATTTTCCATGGAATCAGACTATGTTCAACAAGTGCACACTGTGCATGGTAAGACAGTGCCTACCACAAAAGTTTACAATTAAAAAGGATTTTAATTAAGGAGTCCTATGCTCTACATACTCTGGTAAGGAGTGACAATGAATTTTGGAAAAAAACTTTTTGTATTAAAAAAAAAAAAGACAAAAATGCTTACAGATCTTAAAATGAGCCACTGACAGCAGATATTCTTGGCTAATGCTAAACATAAGACAAGTACTAAAATGTTAATTTAAAATAATTTGATATATAGAGAAATTTGTTTTGTTCCTTTTTAGTCTGGTCTTTTTTAATCCGTAGGTTTCAGTCATTCATACAATCTATATAATTAAGAAACCTACTGACTGGATTAAAGCCTTTTAAGGCCTTCATCAAGTAACTAAAAGTAATAGCTAGATCACACACCCATTAGAGAACAAAAACAAACTTTAAAAAATACTGGCAGGACATACCCTATTTAAAATAAAAAAATTTTTGAACAGATAGAAACTATAAACATAATTGCCAATTACATATATTGAAATCTTTACCAAGAAAAAATTTATATTTTTACTTTGCTTCCCCTTTGATCTAATCTCATGTTCACTTCTCTTAACAAAAACTGAAATTTTCATGAAGTGATAAGTAAAACTACCCCATTGACTGGATAGAGGACAGAGCTCTCCAGGGACAAAGTTCAGTTGTCTTTCTGCTAAAAGAATGTAGTCTCTATTCTGAATTCCATCTTATAGACATATTCTCCCCTCCATCATTACCCATACCAAGATTTATTACCTATTTGATGCTGACCACAGTAAAGCATCAACATTCAATTCCCAGGTCCATAAAACTTCATACTATATTAACCTCAGCGTTACAGCATTCCTTACTTTAGTAACCAATCAAGGTTACACAGACCTTTTCCACAAAATATTAAATATCTAAATACATTAACATGAACAGACAATAAAGCTTGCTTTAAAAAAACTTTTCTTAAATGCATCAATTCTAATATCAAAACAGTTAAAAATTTAAAAAAATTTATGGATATTTGTTACATTAACAAAAGATTGCATGCTTAATATATATACACCAAAACATAAGGCATGACACTCAAAGATGAAAAAAATCTTACTCATATTTCCCCTACTTGCTTATTTCTTTCCATTAGGAAAGAAATAAGCAAGTAGGGGAAAGAAAACTTTTAAATAAAAAGGTTTTCCTGCTCAATTCCCATCTCTCTAGCAGTAACTACTCTCACTACAGATGGTAGATGGCTTCGAAGGGTTGTCCAATCTAAGGCCCTGTAGGGTCACGTAGGTCCTAAAGACCCTTTTATGCATTGTAACCAAAGGCTACAAATGGGAAGAACAAACAAAAAAGCGTACTGGCTTCCTCATGTCCCAGTACTTGGGCCTAAAGTGTTCTGCTTCAATCTTTTAGGGTACCCAAAAAAGGACAAGAGTGTTGGCAGGCTACCTGAGCTGGTGATTGGGTCAGGAGTTGACAAACTTGGGGGAAGAGCAGGATTGGGAACATAAATAAAAAGAGATGGTGGTTTTTCTTAAAAGGAAAAAGTTGCCAGAGTTGTTAAAGGTCTGTCTAGGGGATGTCAACAGCCAACTATTTCCATTATAATCTCTTTATACTGAGAGAAAGTATCACAAAAGAATGTTAGAAAATGTTCTAAGCGTATGTATCCACATGGGTCACTGTGCTTAGTGAGAAGCAGGATTCTCTAAACAGTTTTTCATTAAAACAGTTTTCATTTTCAATAAAAACAAAACTTGCCACTAATTCTTCTTACTCTAATTTAATATGCATGCATTAATGTGTACAAGTTTTTATACCTCTCTCTCTGTTATCACGTCTGTCCCTTTCTCCATGTCTTCTTTCAAAGGACGAATCCCTAGGCTGATCTCTGGCATCGTAACGGTCTCTCTCAGGATATCCACTTCGAGATTCCCAGCTTTCATGGTAGTTTCCACTACTACTATGCCCATCAACTTGAGATCCTCTTGTTCCTCGACTTCCTGAAAAAAAGATATTCACACAAATGTACGTTATTTTGTTTAGCAGGGTTCTGCAAACACCATCTTCACAAAGAGCACCATAAAGTACCCCAGTAAAAAATAAAAACTCAACTGAAAGAGCCTTGAGGAATCAATCATCCAGTCCAGCTCCTACTTGAAGCATTAACTCCCACCACTACAAGCAGTCAGCCAGCCTCCAAATACGTGGAAATCACCATGCTGACATACTACTTTTGGATAGCTGTACTTGCTAGGGAAGTGTAATTCCTCTCTACCCGATATCTCTTCAAGTATGTGAGGACCATGATCATGCTGTTTACCAAATCCACAAAGCTTCTCACCAAGCTAAAGATTTCTTCAAATCCACTTTGAATGACGAAGTTTTAAGTTATTTCACCATCTTGTTTGCCCTGCTCTGATTGCAGCATCAAGAAAATGTTTTCTCTATTTGTAAATTAAAGGGCATTAAACAGACAGAATATTGAATTAGAAGACCTGATCTTCAATCCTGGATCACAGACAGATTTTGTCAAATCAACATGTTTTCCCCCTCTCTAAAAATGAAGACAGCTTATGTAATTATGAAGTAAGAAAAACTTATCCATATAAGAGTTCTCTTGTTACTATGTAAATGCCACCTGCTCTCAATGATAACTTAAAGGAATACCTTAAGAACAAATTATGTCCCATATCTTTGTTCTGAATACAGTTTACAACTAAGAAATCTTGATAAAAGTTCAAATGCTTAGCCAGAGTATCATAATAGCATTTATTCTCTGCTCAATCCTACAAAACCCAGTGCTACAAAAGCTTTAAATAATGGGGTAGCAAAGACCTGAGGTCCATTCAACTATAGCTCTGCCTACCATTCAAAGGCCCTTCTAAAATTGAATGCTTTCTACTTACATTTTTAGGCATCGTACAACCTGACAGTATCAGAAAGTCCTAATGGTGTCAAATATTACTGACAATGTATCAACAATTTCCTGGTAATAAATCAAGAAAGTTTAAGAGATGTGGTAGCTTGGGCTTTCCAAAACACCTTCAAAAAACATACTGGTCAAAACTCCATTTTCAAAGAAAATCGCAGTTGCTACCTTAACGTCCCTAACCCCTGGGAATAAAAGTAAGGCTAGAACAGGAACAGGTAGCTACTCAAGAACAAACAGCCTAACGTAGAATTCTCACCAACCTAGGGGAAATTCCTGGGCCCTCTGCAGAGGGCTAGAAATATATGGCTTGACTTGGCCTTCGGTTAATCATAAGCACCTCCTGGGTACCATCTGAGTCCAAAGCACCTACCAAATACTTAGCCGTCTACCACATCAATGAATAAGGTCATCAATAAATCTCTCCACACTAGAATTCTGAAATGAGGTCATCTTTATAGACCTTCTCTAGACTTATTTCCAAGAATCTGTGTGTTAATTTCTACCATCTCCCTTCAGTCCTTTGTTTACCACTCAGGAAAAAAAAAAACAAAACTGGAAACCCTTTTAAGGTAATCAACTTTGTTTTAAGTCAAAAACATTTGGGAGTTGCTAGTCACCTGGCAACTGCCCATCACATAACACCAAGACAAGAATCTTAGTGAAAAAATGGAGTTGTAGCTTTCTGAATAAAGTGCATAGGTTTTTTCTACTAAGCAGTCTTCTTTGCTTGTTTCCAATTCAAACCATTGTAAAAAGTTAAAGCTGTCACAATTCTGGCCACTGATGGGGACATTGTTTGCTATGTTCTAGTCATGAAGAAATCAAGTAAGACTAGTAGTCAAATAAACCAGCAACAACGTCTTTAGGAGAAGAGTCTACAATCATTGTTGTACCTACTATATAAAGAACTGTATTAAGCATCACAGAGGATATTAAAAAAAAAAAAAGACAATGTCTTTAGTTTATAATCTAGTTGGGAAAACTGGACAACATGGCAAACAAAAGAAATTACAGAATTAAAAAAACCAGTTAACTTGTCCTAAAAGTTACAATGGTAGCATCCTGGGAAAGCTTAAATACTAAAGAAATAAGAAAGTTTCTTTTACTCAAGGTCTACATTATGGGAGAGGAAGTAAAAAGGATGATAATAATAGTACCCACCTCCCTGTTATGAGAATAAAATGAGATATTTGTGAAGTGCTTTACAAACCTTAAAGCACTATATTGTTTATTAAGCATACACTGACATAGTGTGACTATAGGCCAACATAGAGAGAGCGTTCTGGGGAAGGAACAAATTCAGCTGATTATCAGTTTCAGTTTAGAGGATAGTAAAAGTATAGAATGTTAGGAATGTACATACATCAAGGACAATAGAAGCAAAACCTGGGTGTCTGTGTCAAGAATGCTAGAACACAGTCTTTAGGTAATAAAAAAGTGAAAGGGGGGCGGAGGAGAGACAGGGGAGGCATGGACTAATCCAGATCTCACACTTTTAAAGTCTTTTTTTTTTTTTTTGGTGAGGCAATTGGGGTTAAGTGACTTGCCCAGGGTCACAATGCTAGTAAGTACCATGTGTCTAAGGCCAGATTTGAACTCAGGTCCTCTTGACTCCAGAGCTGGTGCTCTATCCATTGCGCCACCTAGCTGCCCCACTTTTAAAGTTTAAGAAGTCATAATGCATGGAAAACTGAAGTTCAGTAGAAGATTCTGGGGAATAATGACTACAGAAGGAAAAGAAAGAAGGAAGTAGTGCAGGCCTGGGGAAGATAAAGCCCAGGGGTTTAGAGAGATAGTTTGATGATTTAGGAAGGCATAAATATAGGGGTAAATTCAGCTATCTACTTCTTGTTTCATTCATTCACTCACTTTAACCACAGTGACTTTAAATTTTTCTGTTAGAGATTTCATTTCCTCTTGATTCATCGGTGCATGTGTGCATTTGCACATGTATCTTCCTGACATTGCCTTTGACACTTCTAACTAATCATGACTGATGACTTTCCAATAAGTGACCCCTCTCCCTCCAGCTCCTATTTGTTTTTAGGTTGGTTTGTTTGTTCATTTTGGGGGGAGAGGAGGGTCAGCTCAATTTTTTTACAACACAGTATAGTGGTATGATGCTACAACAATGATCAGAAAATCACAACAAAAATGTAGCATTTATAAGAAACTTATGTTCAGAGAAGACATTAGATGAAATGCTGCTATCTTTAAATAACTAAGACAGTTAAATAAATAAATAAGATGAATAAGATAAAATAAGACCCAAACAGTACCCTTTTCAGGCAATTCTGGACCTCTGCCTCTACTTCTGCCCGTCCGGTCACTCCTATTTTCATTTCGAGATTCATTTCTAGACTCATTCCTCGTTTCAGTTCGAGAACTCTCTTCTCTGCCATGATTCCTTCCATAGCCCCGAGAGTCTTCTTGGTAAGGGTCCTCCTTGCGGTGGGCGTCTCGATTTTCACGCTCCCTGTACTCATGGGCATCTCTCGTAGATCGCGAGTCCCTCTGGTCACGGGTATCTTTGTTGTCTCTGCTATAATCTCTCACATCCCTGGAGTCTCGGGCATCTCTGGAGTCTTTTAATTCCCTTCGGTCTCTTGTGTCCCTGGTCTCTCTCCGATCTCGGCCCTCTCGAGATTCTCGGTCGTCTCTGTGGTCTCTAGAAGAGTTCTGGTCCTGGTCATACTCTCGTTCTTCTCTAGTTTCTTTCTCTCTATTATCCCTTTTGCCTCTAGTCTCTATAAAGAATTATGAAAATCAAATCAATTACTCCATGAATTTTATCAAGCATTTCCAGTAAGGTAGAAATGATGTAAAAATACTTCAAAATACAATTCACTTCCACAAACGGTAAGTACTGCATTTTCTAGAGGTAGTTCTCATTAGAGTTCTATTAAAAACAATTGCAAATGAGTTATTTCCAAACAATGCTATAAATGAAAGATATTCCTGAGCAGCCAAAATCTGGACTATACACAAACATAAAATTAGTCTTTATGAAGGTCTAATGGGCAACAGGATAGGCTACTTGAATGTGCTAACAGACCTAAAATACAGAAAACAGAAACTCCAAGTCTTCAGAGGGATGCCTTAAGTTTGCACCTGGTTAACATCCGGTATAGAATGAAGAGTTTCATCTGGATAGGATGGGCAGCAGACATGAATGAAATCTCCTTAGAAGGGGGACGGAGAGGGTTAACTTTTTCCTTTCTCAGAATTCCCTAATTTCCAAAGACCTATTCTTAAATAATGTCAGCTAAGGTTCAAAGGCCAAACCAAGTAAATTTTCATTTCACCTACCAACTATTTTTATTTTAATAAATGATCTCCTTTCTCTAATACTAGTTTCTCTTTTCTGAGACATTAAAAGAATGAGGCATCTGAGTGGCATTCTGCCTGGTATAAAGCCACTCTCACATCCCTCTTTATCCTTGAAATACCTAAAGACATCCTTTCCAATATGCAGCAACCTGCAATGCTCTATAATGACAGCATTTTCTAGTTTTTCACAGAGAAGTAAAAGTAGCATTATTTTTAAACAACTTGACTAGATGTTCACTTTATTTATTAAAGCCTGAGATAAAAGTGAGTCTATTGCTATAATGAACAGAGGTAGCAGACCTTAGTATGTGTTTAAACAAATAAAGTTTGGGACATGATCTGTTTATGAGCAAGGGAATAAGTATTTATATCATACCTACTATGTGCCAGGCACTATGTTAAGCACTTTTACAAATACCTCATTTGATAAGAAGTAAACAGGTTCCAAGAATCTGTGATTTTTTAGGGGAAGTTGTCTAATATAGAGGTAATGTACTGATAATATAGCTGGAAAAACCCTAGAGTTCCCCTATAGTCTCAAGACCTAGAGTCTTTACAGATATATGGGAGAGAATAAAAGAATTATCAGAACCAGTTGAGTTCTGAGGATCCCAGACGTCTGATGGCATGAAATCACTTTAAGGAGTAGAGATGAAAAAAGAATATAAAAGAGGATGGGAAACAAAGGTGCATAAGGAATGGAAAAGCTACACTTACTTGATCTGTGGAAAGAATATTGGATTTGGAGTCCAAGAAACTGAGTTTAAAGTTCAGCTTTGCTGAGACAAAAAAAAAAATTTTGCTTGGACAAATCACTTATCTCTGTGGGCCTAACTGCTACAATCTGAACATCATACTTTCTCAACACAAATGATACAGTAGCAGGACAAGGTCTGCATAAATTACTGAAAATTTACTACAAACAGCATAAGGCCTCTGTTACAACAAAATAATTTGTTATAAAGAAATTTTATATCTACAAACTAGGAACTATATACATATATATGCATATATTTGTGTATATATATATATACACTATGTATAAAACACTAAAAATATGCTTACCCTCCCTCCTTTCATGGCGTCGATCATGTGACTGTGAGGCCCGCTCATGATCATGCCTTCCTTTTTCACGCAAGGGGGATCGATGTCGTGATGGACTCCTCTTTCTCTGAGGAGAAGACGAGGACCGAGGTGGATAAGGAGAAGGAGAGCGCCTCACTGGTGGAGATGCTGTCCTCTGGTAGGCTGGGGAAGGAGTTCGTTTTCGCCGAGGAGAAGGAGAATGTCTTTGAATGGATGACCCTGATTGTGATGAGGATGAGTGATGCCTGGAAGATAAAGGAGAATGACGCTGTCCTGCTGGGGAAGCAGACCTACAGAAAAAAAAAAAAAAAATATATATATATATATATATGTGTGTGTGTGTGTGTGTGTAAAAGAAAACAACTTCTTTATTTTCTATGAAATAGAAAAAAATCTTCACTAAATACTAAAACTGGATACAAAAACTTATAATAAACAAAAACAGATAAGATATAATAATTAAGTAAGTAGACTTCTAGGATCATGAAACTAATTTATCAATCCTAGTGTTAGCAGGAAAAATGAAGCAATTTAAAATGATAGCTCTGGGCAGAAAATTCTGTATTTTCTTTCTGGACTTAGCTACTAATAACGTTCCCTACTCCAAGAGGTATTCTCCAGTGGGAGCACAAAGCTCAACCCCAAGCAAGAGTCTCATGCTTGCTTAAGATTATCCACGGCAGTGAACACAAGTACTTATCAGCGAATAAGGGACATGGGTAATGGTGAGAATTACTTGATAAATGAGTGCAGTATGTACTGCTAAGAGCCATAACCTCAAGGAAAAGTGGCTATAAAAGCTAGTAGAAGACCTGAAGAGGAAAAACTGTTACTATATGATATAAGGGTACAATACCTACTGTCTATTACCAACACACCTCAGCAAAGACAGCTAGAATAAAGGTTATCTGGCATGGATTAGGAAAAGAAAAGTAGTGTACACTGTCTGCATCTCACATTGACTGCCTCCACCCCACGGGCCGGCATATGATGAGCTCTTCTCTGGCTCGTAGATGTATTTTCTTATTAGCATACATTAACACTGCTAACAGCTAAAAATCCGCTGAGGCACAGCAGGGACTCACAACCTACTCCTAGATATTCTGGCATATCTGCACTTGTCCATATTGAAAATGGTGAATGAATAAATGAATGAATGAGCACTTATTAAGTGCTTACTACATGCCAAGTACTGTGCTAAACAAGGGGAGTACAAACAGAAAAAACAGCTCCTTCTCTCAAAGAACTCACATTCCTAGTAGGGAAGACAATGCATGGAAGAGTTCAGGAGCAAGGTAGGTAGAAAGAACCAGAGGTCTTAGAGGTTCAGCTGTAAGGCAGATGGCAAGTACGAGGAGCCCTTAAGATGTATCAGCATGTCTGCCCCAGGAGTGGCCCACCACCTTTGGGAAAGAGGGAGTCAACCTAACAGTAGAAATTGAAGATTTCAGGTTTCTCTCCAGCTGGGTGGGTATGGGGACTAGAGGGAAGTCAGTGTCCAACCAAGAGAAGGCAAGAGTAAGGAGGCATCAGGGTCTGACAATGAATGTGATGAACACTTCTTCTATTTCTGGGGACATATGACCTGGAATTCTACTTACACATTTGATATGGATTCAAACTGTAACATGAATGACCTTGATAAGAAAAGTAATTGTTCATTCTTTCTTCTATGGTATTTACATGAAGATACTTAAAAACTCCAACTAATTTCCTATAATGAGACCATTAAAATTACATATACTTGCTTGAAAAACTCTTCTTCTACACACACACACACACACACACTCTCTCTCTCTCTCTCTCTCTCTCTATCTCTCTCACACAGACACCCAAACATATAGATACATAATGCTAACTATAAAGCAACAAGATTTTTGGTGTTTTTCTAAACAAACATCAGAATTTATAAATCCAAATAATTCGTTGTTCACTTCAAAGTAGTTACTTTGGGGGGACCAAACATGTATTCCAACAACTCTGATAAAGCCAAAAACAACTTTGAAACTGACTTCACAGCCTGAGGCACATTCTTTCAAATGTCCTCAAAATCTTCTTTGAGACTTAGTTTAGTTTTTACAAAAAGCCTACAATAAACAAGGAGCAATTCTCTCATGAATAATGAAAAAAATCAAGCTGGATAGTAACACTTATGTTCAAGAAATACTTCATACAAAATACATGAGCTGGAATACTATCATAGTAAAGAAGCCTATCACAAAGAAACTTTCAAGGGCTTCAAAGTTCCTACATAAGCCTATCTTATCTATCAATTATATACTGTCATAGTAAAGTAGTCAATCACCAAGAATCTCTAAAGATCTTTTTTTTTTTAAAGCAATTGGGGTTAAGTGACTTGCCCAGGGTCACACAGCTAGTAAGTGTCAAGTGTTTGATCTGAGGCCATATTTGAACTCAGATCCTCCTGACTTCAAGGCCGTTGCTCTACCCACTGCACCACCTAGCTGACGCCTAAAGATCAATTTAAAGAAGACAAAGACCAAGAATGTCTCAAGGTCTTCACAGTTCCACGAGACCCAGCAGTATGAGTTCTGTTAGAACAACTCCACTGACTGTAAATAAATTAATTTTGCCTTCACTTTGATTTTGATGGGCACACTACTAGGTCTAGTGAACATCCTATTTTCCCACTACAGTTTCATACTGTATGTCAAGGTCATACAGAAAAGATCATGTTTCATTATCAGTTATTATTTTCTTCAAAAACACCATTTTGTTGGCTCCAGGAAGCATTTCTCGAAAGATCAAAGCAATCATCAAATCTGCTCTTCTCCAACATTCAAAATATATGGCATAATCTTCAGAGAAACTTTAATGCTCATCCTTTCCTAATTTATCTGTTTTATAGGAACCAAATCTCTAAACCTTTTAAACATTTTAACTGATCCAATGAAGAATTCAAAACCCACACTGTCCATCAACAGGACATTTTCCCTAACTACTTTAAATTTTATTCTCTTAACTTCTAGTTTGGTCAGTGTCTCATTTAACTTTACAAAGATTTTTATATCCTTTTCTCTAAATAAAGGTCACTTATTTTTTCATTGACTGAAAACAACACAGATTGTCACAGATACTAGCACAAAAACAGGTAACGTTCAAAGTGCGACTGCTATGCATTCAAATATTACAAAAGCATCCTTACTATGATCAATGCAAGCCAATGCAAGCAAAACTCATTCTTATTACTTTACAAGTCAAATGATAAATATGTTCAAATTAGGTGCCCATCTATAACCAGGACCACATTTTGTTCTAGTAACCAAGATGTATCACTATTGGATTGTCAAATTTTTGAGAGGAGTGTTAGAGATGAAATTTTAAAACTGCCTAAATAAAATTCAGCACAGTAATTTTCTAAAACTAAGAAAAATTTTCCCCAAAACTAGTTTCTACAGACAGAAGCATTTGAAAGCACATTGCTAAAGGGCAGACACTAGGACTTCGAAACCCGTATGGTCTCCAGCCAGAGAATTCAGTCAATAATGATCTGAACAATCTGAGCCTGAAATTATGATTCATTCCATGTCCCAGATAACAATACCAAGCACAGGGAGACTAAATTGTGCCTAGGCACTTGAATCAGACCTGAACCATAAAATACACACACACACACACACACACACACACACACACACACACACACACAGCTTTTATAGCTTTAGTTTTTATTTTACAAGTCTTTTTCAACCACCTGCCTGCCATAAAAGGAAACAGTACTGGGTATATTTACAAGACAGAGTACAAAATTAACAAAAATGTCACTGACAAAAAAAAAAAGGTCTTATTCTCTTTTTAACTCAGGCAAAAATAATCAAATTCAATACAAAACAAAAATTTGGACCAGAAGTCAAAATTTCAGGGAAAACAAGAATGACTTTACTGAACCAAAAAAGGGAAAATAAAAGTACATAGTCTTTCCAGTACTCCAAAACTCAAATTTGTAAACTACAGGACTATCCTGACATATAGCCATTAAGGTATAGCTTGATCAGACACCAATCAAAAAAGGTGTTGCTAGTTTGCGTGTTTGTTTTGAAATGCTGTCCCAATTCAGAATAGAGTGTTTCATTTTGAAAGAAAATCCCCAAAAGGTCAGAGGGAGAAGCTCAGAGAGAAAAGCTCCCCTAGTCCATGAAGGAAAACTCTTAAGCCATGAACCAATTTGATAAAACAAAATTTCTCACCTCAAAAAGCAAGTAACAATTATCAACCTTCCTCTACAAATTGTTTCTCTGAGTGTTTATGCAATGTCAACTAAGCTGTGATTCAACCTTTTAAACAAATCATGTAAAAAGTAAGAGTCTGAGTAAATGGATTATGAAACAGACTAACCAAAACTTCTAAATACCATATATTATGATAAATAGATGACAAAAAGCACCAACACATTGTAGCTATCCAAGCTCCTTTACTGTATATAAAAGAATTTTTCTTGTTAAAATTAGACAAATTTCTGAACCTCAATCGTACTTCCCTATACAAGCCTATGTTCTCCCACCTGCGAGATGGAGAAAAAGAATGCTTTTGAGTCGATGATTTTGTTGGAGCCCGAGAAGCTTGTCGTCTCTTTGCAGCAGGGGGTGAATATTCCCTGGAAGGGGAAGAATTACTGCCAGAATGATCTGCAGGACTGGGGGAACGCTTTTGTCTATGGGAACCTTCCGAAGGATCTCTATTCAGAAAACATACAAGTAGTAACTTGTTAAACAGACATGACGTAAACAAACTGATAGAAGAAATGAAAAAAAAACAAACAAGCAAATAATATCTGAGCCAAAGCACCTTCAAAAAGCAGTCTGCATTAGATTTCATTTTTGCATCTGGCAGAGGTGGTATGGGGGTAGGCGGTGGTAATGCATGTGTGCGTATACACACATACACACACACATGCATGTGTGCATACACACACATACACACACATGCATATGTGCATACACACACACGCATGGATATATACATACGTGTAAATAAATCATATTTTTTCTCAATTTAAGAAGAATCAAATACGTCAAGGTAACCCCAAATTCATATGACGTTTAATCTCAAGTTCTGAAAAATTTTTACTTCTGGGGGCAGCTAGGTGGGGCAGTGGATAGAGCACCAGCCCTGAAGTCAAGAAGACCTGAGCTCTAATCGGGCCTCAGACCAAACACTTGACACTAGCTGTGTGACCCTGGGCAAGTCACTTAACCTCAACTGACTAAAAAAAAACAAAACAAAAAAAAATTTTAACTTCTGGGGAACATATTACAATAAAACAACTTTGCAAATAGCCATTCTACCAAGAAGAAAAAAACACTTGTTCCTGACATTGTGCACTGGAGATAATGAAGACAAGTAGTTGGAATGCTATATACAAAGACAATGTCAAAGAATCATATTCTGAATTGCAGAAATAAGGAATGTAATGCTTCAAATCTGGGCTGACTCAGTTACATATGCTACAAGTAAATAATTATAGTGATATTGTCAGTGGTAAGATCATCTACTATTTTCTATTCTTGTGGAGCTTTTTTGAAGACAAGCTTGTGAAACAGGGCAAAAAGCATCATTTTTTCAAGGTTAAAATTTCCCATTATATAGACTTACATCTGTTGTTGAGAAGTTCAAAGAACAGTTCATTAGACCAGGGGTGAGGGTTTTGTTTTTAAATTAAAAAGACCAAGAAATAGAATATTTAAAATGATAATTGTCATTTTACATGGATCTATAATAAACAATTTAGCTTAAGCTAAACTAATAAGACTTTATGATAAAACAAAACAAAACAAAAAAACAACAACAACAACACTGAAGCCCTGACCCCAGCTAAAATGAATGAAATAAAGGACAAAATATTTAACCAGAGCACACAATTAGAATTATTCCTAAGTCAGCAGATGGTCTTGATTTCAGCTTAAGTTCAGAAAGTCATTTAGAACTGAAATGACAAACACATTTTGAAAAGCAGCTATAAGTAAAGCAATTGTCCAACTACTTCTGTACCGATACTACCTAAAATAAATTAAATAGTGTATCAAACAGAAAGTAAATTTAAAATACCCAGACTCTTTATATACTGGAAAAGCAAAAAAACGTACTAAGTACTAATTCTAGGTCTAAATTTGAAAGAGAATTCATTCAAAATATTAAGTATTATGAAAAATATTTTCCAGAGTTGTATAACAATATAAAAGAATCAGAATTTCAAGGTCAGTATTGAAATTTCATTCCTGATAGTCCATTTAATAAATAATTTTTTAAAATGTATTCTACAAGCTAACTTACATTAAGAGATGCCTACCTCAAAAAAAAAAAAAAAAGAAAAGAAAAAGAAAAAGTGGTTACCAAATTTCCCAACTCAAATCAATCTATCTACATTTGTTGATATAACATAGTTCTGTAAGCACAAACAAAATCCCTAGGAACAAGGCCTCTATTAACAAGTCACTCAGATATTGATGTAGTTAGGTGAAATTCTGTTATTTCTTAGCTGTGACCAGTAATCAAAGAGGATGGCTGCACACCTAGGCAATCCACTATTAGTCATCTGCAGTCAGGGAGGCATCTGTGGCTATGTGTGGCCTTAGTGTCACCACAGGTGGAACAATTCTGATAGAGTGTATCACTACACAAACTGAGAGGGCCTCCTTCACTGAATAAGGAGGGATGAAAGGAAGAAGGATCCGCGTAAAGCAGAGCCGGGTAGGAAATGTATGCCCTGGAATGAATGAATCCCTATGGCTTCTGTATTATTTTTACCTGTGGTAAACAGGTTTCTGATAATAAAATGTTTATCTACAACGTATATTACTTTCTAATTAACAACACTGGTAATAATTAATGTTTTTTTTCCAGATACTAAACTGTTTGTGAAAATGACCCAATAAAGTTTCATCAACATTAAAAATTTTTTAGTAACTGCTAAGTTACTTACCTTAAAGGTACTAAGTAGGAGTTACTGTTACTGTTATTACCCAGACAGTATGAAGAAGGGGCCAAAAGTATTTCCTATCCTGGTTCAGTACTTTGACTTTTAAAAATTTAGTCCATTTTCTAAAATTCATAGCAATGAACATTTACCATGAGATAAACCTAAAAATTTTTCAAACCAGCCTTTTTAGAAGAGTTATAAACAAAGAGTGATTAGCTCCCACAAGACTATAAACACCTCTAGTTGAATGGAAGCTCCTAAAGTTCAGGAACTATTTCCTTTTTGTCTATGAATCCCCAGTATGTGGCAAAATATCTTATACAAAAGCAGGCGCTTCCTAAATATTTCCTTAATTGAAACTACAGGATTCAACCTGACTTCTAAGCTTCAGAGCCTTCAATCCAGCCAGAACTTTCTTTCCTGGCTTTGTTCCTCCAATGTCTTGGTGAAAACCCCAAACTGTGAGCTCTGATTCTCTTCTGAGTCACAAGAAAGTGGGCTCTAGAATTCCTGGTGGAGAGAGTTAAAGGATGGCTGCATAGTTGAAAGTTGCCAGTAGTGAACTGGGAGCAATGGAGCTAGAGAGCCAGGACAGAGATGCTGGGAGGCATTAAGTGCCCCGAAGTCATAAAAATCATACACTTTTCTCTAAAGTACAATTTGAGGCATAGGTAAGCACCATTAAAAAAAACTACGAAAACATACAATCATTCCCTAATTTGTAGGCAGTGATTATTCAAATTACAAAATGATTCACAATGGGATTCCTCTAAATAATAAGCTCTCTTAGTACAATGAAGTTTGTTTACTAAATCAGCTCCTAGAATCTGAAGGCAGAGAGAGGTAAGCTAAAAAGGGTTCAAAATGTTAAAAACCACTGTAGATTCCAAAACAAAAATTAAAAATAGCCCTGATAACATAAGCTAATTGGAACATTTGATTTCATTTATAATGATCTAACTGATGGCACTTTTCAGGACAACATCTAATATAAAAGGAGTTATAGCCTATACAAAAAAAGACTTTTATCATTTAAGTCAGTCTCTTAAAAAACACCAGTCTACCAGGAATTTATTTAGGAGTAATAAGAAAGACCAAGTTGTTTTTTCTTTTATTTACAAGTAAATTCAGGAAGCCAAGTACCACAGAGGAATGTAAAACAACAAGCAATTATTAAGCGCTTACTATGTGTCAAAATAAGAATGGCTTCCTCAGTCCAGTAAACAGATAAGCTACCTCATTTCTGCCCTACTTTTGGGATCATTTTTACTCATATATCCCTCAAAAACTAACCCTATCATCTGACAGCAGCTTCCAATATTTGTCCTAAGCCCATAACTATAAAGCTTGTATTAACTTGTTACTGGATAAGGGATTTATTCAGAAACAGACCCAAAATGGCAGTGTTCAGAAATTTGTAGGTCTTTAACTTTCTAATCATACACAATGTTAAGAACATCATTCTCCCACAGCACAATATGACATGATCTCACACAACAAATTAAGGTGATTCTTCTAACTCCCTAAAACTGTATAGACATAAATTCAAATAATACATTTTGTGAAACCATGTACCTTCATAAAGGCACACAAGTGATCACCAAAAAAAATTGGCAATTATTACCTGGTAGTCAAAAAACCACTGGTGAAAATCACTGTGGTAGAAGTTATTTATGCTTTTCATCTCTCCTCAAGAACAAAGGAACTCTATGAAGACTTCAACTGTGTATAAACATGAGTTTGAAAACTAGCTAGGGAAGGGATATTTTAGACTGACAGGAAACCAAAATAGCAAAAACCTGTCTTTTGAACAGTAAAATAAATCTTTTCCCTAAGCAAAAGAAAGTTATGAGATTTGCCTAAATAGTACCCATCAGTACATGTGATAAGAAAAGAAGAAAATCAGGAACTGATAACTTCTTAAGCCTGCATGGTGTCTATCTGAGAATGTCTTCTTTAAAATGCATGGTCTAACAGAGATCCTACTATGATGGCTCACAGTTCTAAATCTGGAAGCCCAAGAGAAATTTTAGGAGGTTGCCTTTCTCCTTTGTTATTTCAAAATAAAAATATCTCCAATGAAAACGGATTCCTCTTTTCTTGGGCTCCCTGATGAAGTTGGTAATGTTTAGGTGGTTATGCTTTTTACCCAGTAATTCCATTTTCAAAGGTGTTAAAATACACTACAGCTGAAAAGTTTGTCAAATGTTAATGTTCTACATTACATAAGAGGATAATGAACAAAACAATAAAAATCCAAAGGGTAAAACAAGATCATAATTCAGAACACAATCCTACTTACCTCTGCTTCTCTTTTTTTTCTTTATGTCTTTCAATATCCCTTCCTCTATCTTTCCCTTCTCTTGGCTTTTCTTCAACCCGTTCTTTTGCTTTATGTTTTTCTTTATGTTTTTTCCCCAAGGCAGTTTCTTCCTGTATAGGAGGAGGTGGGCTAGGAGTACGAGGTCCTTTCTTTTTACTCTGGTTGCTTTTAGAACTCCTAATGGCATTAAAAAAGTATCAGTTTATCTTTAAAAGGTAAACGGCTATTTTAACTTAGTATAACTTAATGGTTCATCTTTCTAAATCCAAATGAGATTTCATAAGTTAAATTCCTTTAACAGTATTAATAAAACCTAAGAAAGGATCACATATGAAAAAATTTAACTGCCCTATTCTTAATATGCTCTTTTTGTTGTTCAGTCATGTCTGGCTCTTCATGACCCCATTTGGAGTTTTCTTAGCAAAGATACTGGAGTGGTTCATCCTTTCCTCTTCCAGCTCATTTTACAGATGAGGAAACTGAGACAAATAGGGTTAAGTGACTTGCCCAGGGTCACACAGGCAGTGTCTGAGGCCAAATTTGAACTCAGGTCTTCCTGACTCCAGGCCCAGTGCTCTATCCACTGCACCACCTACCTGCCGGTCTATATCTTTAAAAGCAGAAATAGTAGGTATGCCAATAAGAAATGAGGAATTATGCTGGAAATGTCAACTATTTCCCTACCATAAAAACTAAGGAACAATTCAGGATGCAGGATCACAGAAATGACTGTGACAGACATCCGTTAAAATTTGTCTAGCCCACAGAAAAACTAAAAGTGAAATCATCCATTGAAGTTCATCACATCCTTAACAAGGATTATGTTGATGTAACTAAGTATTTATCTGTTCATTCTTTAACTAAAACAGAAGTGGTCAACTGATTTCTTTATGGTCACCTGACTAATATAGTACTGTATTATTTTAGTTTAGTTAATGTTTTCAACTTCCTAGCAAATTTTAATTCAAAATCTTTTTTTAATAGCTCACAGAGAAATTTCACATATTTCTTTTAATCCCTTACTTACTCACACTTTTTTTTTTTTTTTTTTGGCTAGGCAATGGGGTTAAGTGACTTGCCCAAGGACACACAGCTAGTTAAGTGTTATGTGTCTAAGGCCGGATTTGAACTCAGGTCCTCCTGAATCCAGGGCCAGTGCTCTATCCACTGTACCACCTAGCTGCCCCTTACTCACACTTATTACTAAACCCTATCATTCCCTGTTTCTCAAGGCTTGAGTTTTGATAATTCCAAACAATAAAAATACATATTAACCTAAGAAAATTTGAAGAGACAGGAAGTCCAGCCATAAAGGCTTTAATATTTGCCTGTTTTTCAATCTTAAGCTTTTCTCTTCTAAATCTCCCATATTCATTCTCTCCTAGAATACTCCTAAGTTTTTCTTATATGAAATGCTTAAAATAACATAAAACTCCACTTCTCTTTTCCTTCCAAGTCCCTCATTTAAAAGTTTTTTAAGAGTTGGTCAATCAATCAAGCCATTATTAAGTACCTACTATGTGCCAAGTACCTTAAATTGGTTTTAGTGACCATTAAAATCTTAATGAACCCTTACCTAGGGTTCACTATCTACAGATTACAGATTATTTCGTCCTGTCTCTACTTCTGCATCTTTATGGATCAGCTCATTACTTATAATACCACCATACAAGAGGAACTCAAAAGTGCTAATATTGTTAGCAACTATGTGACAAAAGGGTTTGCTCACAGGATCACAGAGTTGGGACTTTTGAAGCCATCTAACACAACCTCCTAATTTTAAAGATGAGGAAACAAAGTCCCAGAGAAGTTAAATGTCTTGTCCAAGGTAATCCAGGGAGTTTGACAGGAGGGGTTTGATCAAATAATCAAAACTTCCACTTATCAATGTTAGCCGTTTTCCCTCCTCTTACCAGAAATAATAGTTTACTGTATGAGCACACCAGAAAAAATAGGTTATACCCAGAGGTATGCTGCATTCACTATGTTACTAAGCACATTCTAAGTTTTCCATATAGTCCAAACCATAAACTGCTATGCTATGCAGCTACTAGTCCATTAATATTAGAATTTTTGCCCTACTAAATAAAACATTTGTTCTACTAGAAAGATAACAATGCTTACATCAAAGATCACATAGATCATTTTCAAGACAGAAGCATGAGGGCTGGAGGTCCATTCTCCAAAGTTTATATTACTACTAAAACAGAATTTCCATCTTTCAAGCCTAATTCCTCCTCCAAAGATGAATTTTGTTGACAAATGTCTATTGTACAGATTTGGGAGATTTTATTGTGCTAACTGAAGAAATCCAAGAATTGATTCACAATCTGTAGAATCAGGGAGATTTTGTTTGCTTGTTTGTCTGTTTTTAGGCAAATGGGGTTAGGAGACTTGCCCAGGGTCGAATCAGGAAGATTTTTAAACCAACTTTATGCCAACTGATTATTCGGTGGAGAGAAAAAGCCTAGTCAAAAAGGCTTTACTATTGGTTTACCTTTTTCTTTCTTAAACTCTTTTCTAAACCTCTCAAATTCATTCTCTCCTAGATTACTCTTGAACTCGAAGTATTCAATGGCAATAGTATTACATACAAACAACAAACATGTATAAAAAGGTTCTACAGAATGCAGAACACTGAGCTAGGCAACACGGGAGAAACAAAAGACACAGTTCTTAACCTGAAGGAAGATAAAGTCTCCTAAGTGATAAGACACCAAAATAACAACATACGGCTATAATTTACATTACACAGAAAGTGCAATGTGAAATCTAAAGGGGAAGGTCATTATCAATAGGGGAAGTGCTCAAGAACGACTTCCAGATTCAAAAGACTAAAAACTTAAACCAGAATATAGGTAGCAAATATAAAATGAATGAAAGGCCATTGAGGTACAATGTGTATCAAAGATGGCATCAAGAATCAATTACATCCTAGTTCCTCTTAATGTCCCAGACAACTATTTAAGAGAAAGAGATGATGTATTTGTTATGGGCTTACTCTGTTCCAGGCACAGTGCTAACTGCTGAAAGTACAAATAAAAGCAAGACAATCCCTACCCTCAAGGAACTTACATTCTGATGGTGGAACACGACAAGGCAAAAGGGGTGAAGTAGGGGGGTGGGAGGGGAGGCAGAAGAGAGAGTATTCACATAAGATTTTGATGTGAGGATAACTGGAAAGTGGAGGCTCTGGAAAGATAAGGCAAAAGAATATCTGTCAAGGGAACTAAAATCAGAGTCCAAGTTTCTAGTAAGGTGGAAATGGCTAGAGATTAAAGACATGAACTGTAAGACTACAAAGTGCAGAAAAAGCATAGATCTGCATTGGTTGCGGGAGTCTCACTAGGACCCACCTACACTGATGAATCACAATGTTACACACACACACACACACACACACACACACACACACTCTTATATTTGCATACACACATATTTACATACACCTAAAAATATATAAAAACAGTTAAATGCTAATTACATTAGAATAACAAGCTAGGGTTTGAATGAAATATTGTCAAAAGAAATTGCTGCCTTCTACTGATGTGGTTTGGTGAAAAGTTCAATGAAGTCACAGTTGTCACAGCAAAAATAAACAATTTTCATTCATTATTGTGAACTTTTTTCAATTTTTCTTAAAGAATATTCATAGTATATACATAACATATGTGTAGTATATGCATAGTATGTATAAAGTATATGCACCACAAAAGAAAAGTTAGTCTTATTACTTCCAAGACAAAATGATCTTCTATGATGTCTGTTTTGATCAAAAATTATATCACTCACCTTAAGCACATGATTTTGACTGTAATGACTTTTAGCTAATTATAAAAAATCATACTACTCAATAATGGGCATTTGCTGATTATTTTACTCATTTGGCACTTAGATTATATTGTCTTGTCTGGCTGTCAATAATCATTTCATGTATTAAATAAAAAATAGTTACACATTTCTAAAAAAATATTACCCAGTTTATTTTTAGAAGCCTAGGTTCAAAGTGACACTGAGCTGTTTTCAAAACCAAAAGCATCTTTCAAAGGATAAACATCTAGCACCAATGAGGCCAGGCTATTCAGGAGAATATGCTGCAAGCTGACAGCAAGTCAAAAAAAAAGAAGCTGAAAAAATATTTGATCACCGATAACATTCTTGTGACACGCAATTTAGAGATGTTAAAAGGTAACAACACCCCTTTGCCTTTGTTTTTTATAAGTCTTTCTTTACAGTCACATCTTATACATGAAACTAGGAAACAATTCCAACACCCCAACAAGATAATAAACATGAAAAAGTTTTTGGAAAGCATAAAGCATCATTCAAACAAACTACAAGCAACAGTTTGTGTATCTGGGCCAATTTTTAGGAACCTAAAGTACCAGACCCATATTACAAAAGGAGAAAAAAAACGTTTTGAGCCCAAGAAAAATATCTTTCACAACACCTAGGGTTGCTCAGACAGCAGCCTGTTTTGTTTATTAAATTAATCAAATCCAAACTTAATCAAATTTGTTAAATTGGTAATCTTATGACATTGCTACTCAAAATGTAGATATTTCTAATTTTATAAGTTTAGAGATAGATTTATATGATTTTTCATTTTTTAAAAATAAGAGAACTTATTTAATTTCCCCTAGCCACAGTTCTGCCCTTCATTCTAACTAGCTAGACAACAGATCAGAAACAGTCAAGCTGCTGAAATCAGACCAACTAAGAAAAGACAAAAGACAGTACGTGAGGAAAGAGAAAATTCATCTGCTGGACATGCACAGTAGTTTGAGATCATATATTATAGGGGGGATTATATCAATAGGACCTTAGGGTATTACTGTATTATCACAATAACTGGTTTACATGAATCAGGAATTGTGTTTTATATTGTAGCAAAACATCTTATATTATACTTTAGAAAAAAGTCATCCAAAACATAAATTTTTTAATGTTTTGGCAAAGCTTTAGTTTTCTGGATAATTCACTTACCACAACTCATGCAGAGAAAGCTGGGCACAGTTAAAAAAACATTGGAAATGGAATCAGAGGACAAGGGTCCAAGTCAAGATTCTAATACTTCTATACCTGAGTTTCCTCATATGAAAAATGGAGATAATGCTATCTGAACCACCTACCTCACAGGGCTACTATGAGGAAAAAGATTTGTAAACCTTATGGGATATAGAAATATGAAGTATTATTATTGACTCCCTAACAAAGTCTGATAAAATGAGGGACTGCTATATTAATACATAGTAACAGTGAGATAAAAATGAAGGAGAAGGGAAATATCACCAGGGGGCATACATAAACTTCAAAAAGAAGGTAGGTCATAAAGCCATGGCATTATTCTAATGCATGTTTAACTACTGACCTCTGCTGGTCCAAGAGAGGAGAAGATACTGCAGATATCTTCTTATCTTTCTTGCTAGCTGAAGAAGATGACTTTGGACTTGATTTTCGCTTTGGAGATTTACTAGACTTTCTCAGAGAAGGAGATGGAGACAATTTTGATCTAACCACCTCTGGAGAAATCTTTTTAAAAAGAGAAAAATTCAATAAGTTTTACTAATGAATTATGCTAAGACATTAAGAGTGAAACTTTTTTAGGTCATAAAAAAAATTAGCTTCCAACAAAAAAATACTGCCTTTTAAACCTAAGGATATCTGCTTACTTAAAAAGCCTGTTTTACATTTAAATGTTTTTTTCCTATAAAATGTCTCAATACGACAGAACTAAGCATAATAAAATTTCAATTAAATCAGCTAAGTGGTTCTTCTATATTCGCTTGACATTTTACAGAGACAAATAACAAGAAGGCAAATGGATGAGCTACAGTTTTTCCTAGCATTGGTATATATTCAGGCCACTCTTGAACATTACCTAGACCATCAAAGTCCACAGAATGAACCTTCGTAATACAGATGGCACCGAAATGCTTTACAAGTGCACATTTTCAAAATGCACAAATAAAGTATAATCAATTACTGTATTTTATGCTTACTAAAGCAGGAAAATAACATTTTTAAATAACTTCAATGAATAAAGTTGAAACAAAAAAAGTTTCTATATAACCTTTAGATAGGTATCCTTAACAGAAAAAGAAGTCAACTAACTCCTCTGTTTCCCAAACATTCCAATTAATCTAGGATAAATTGTGGTAATAGAGACCTGAAGTCTAAGATGATTAAAAAAAAAAATTCAGGAATTTCTTCTAAATGGCAAAATCATTTTCAGTTTTAAATTGAATTTGTAAAAGTCCTGTTAACAGATAACATATTTGTTGTGATTGCAAAACAGGCCTAACGAACCCACCTCTTTTTTAATGACGATTTCTTCTCTCTTCTCCAAGTTTTCTTGCTCTAGCTTCATCAGTTCCCTCTGAATTTTTTGGCGCTTCATTTCCAGTGACAATTCATGGACATAATCATAATTAATGTCTCCGTTGTCAGAATCTTTAAGTCAAAAGGCAGCACTGAGACACTTTATAACAACTTAAACATCAGAGCTATACTAAAGATAATTAAACAGATTGTCAAATTAAAAGATTATCCTATTATTATTGGCAAGATGTCTGCTAAGGGCCCTTCTGGCTCTAGATCTATGATCCTACGATCTTTTGTTTTTACATTGCTCACATTTCCCAAAGTACTCCTTCCCCCATCTCCTTACAAAGATTTTTTTTAAGAGCAAAAAAATAGTTCAGAAAAACTATCCAAAATATTTTTTTAAAAAGACATCTTATGCAATGTTCAACATTGCATAACACGTGTGCAAAGAAGGAAGGGGGAAATATCTTCCCAAATCTCAGACATCTCACCCAGTTAAACTCATTTTGGACTTCTTTGACTTCTCCATCCATTTCTCCCCTGTGCAACTCATCATTGGGAAATGTCATCATCTTGCCAATTCCAAGATCCAATCGACCATGGTACTCACACCATGGTACTAAATACTCTCTGCTGATGAGAAGGTGGAACCATAAACTTCTCTATTCAAAGAGAGAGGACAGGCATCTTAGACATCTCACTTCCCACCTCGATGAATTCATTTTGAATTTCTTTGGCCTTCTCACCATGCCCTCATGCCTGGCACCTTCCTCTCCACTTCCCCATCTCTCTCCTTTTCAGCTTTCCTATGTTGTACCCCAGCACTTAGCACAGTGCCTGGCACACAGCAGGTGCCTAAATGTTCATTGACTATTGATATTTATACTTCTTTGGGGTAAGATTTGGTTTATTATAATTTGGAAATTATAATTTCACAGAATTCAATTTCTATTATTTTGCTAACTATTCTTTCCACTGATATTTTTATTGGAACTGATTTTCCTGGGTCTGTTTACCTGTTCGTAAGTTTATGTCTCCCAAAGCTTCTCTGTACTGATACTGAATTCATTTTTTTTTAACAGAATAGTTCATTATATTCATGTACCACATTTGTTTAGGCATTCCCCAATGAATGGGCATCTACTTTTTCTTCCAGTTCTTTGCTATAGCAAAATGTGCAGCTATAAATATTTTTGAGGGCACATGAGATCTTTACCTTTGTTACTGACCTCCCTGGGGAAATACTTAGAAGTGAGCAGTGAATTCTCTAGGTTGAAAGGTATGAATACTTTAGTCATTTTCTCTGCATTATTTCCAAACTGCTTTCCAGAATGATTAGACCAATTTACAGCTCCACCAAGAATGCACCCATCTTTCTACACACTCTCCAACCTTATTAATTATTGCCCTATCTTTGCCAACTTGTTGGGTATAAAGTGAAACCTCAGGGTTGTTTTGTCTTGCATTTGTCTTATTATTAGTGATCTGAATCATTCTCTCATCTGGTTTTTAATAATTTGTAATTCTTTTGAGAGCTATTTATATCCTTTGAAGACTTCTCTACTGGGGTTGTGGTTTTAAGCATGTCTTAGTTTATCTCTATCTCTTGACTTTCAGACCCTTATCAAAAGTATTTGATGAAGACTTTTTCCCAGCTGACCTCTTATCCCAGCTACATTGATTGTGTTCATTCAAAAGCTTTACAACTTCATGTAATTGAAGTCATGTTGCAGCCTTCTGTCACCAATGCTTTCCTTTGTTGGGTTAATAATTCACTCCCTAACTTTTCCAGCATGAATTGAGATGCTATGGGATTTGGTTTGTGTGTTTATTAATAATGATATTAATTTACTGTGTATAATTAAAGCAAAATGTAATTCTCTTGTTTATACTTATTGATATTGTGAATTTTTTTTTTTTTGCTTTGAATAATACCATTATTCCAGCTACTGGTTTGTTTTTTATTTCATCTGATGAATAGTAAATTTTGTTCCAACCTCTCATTTTGATTCTATGTCTTTGCTTTTTAGATGTGTTTCTGGTAAACAACAGATTGTGAGTTTTTATGTTTTTATCCATTCTGCCATTCCTTTGATTTTACTGGATTGCTATAGTTCATTCACATATAAAGTTATAAAATTTAGATTTATGTTTTTCTCTATTTGTTTATTTAGAACATTTTTCAAGGTTTTTATCTTATTTCTCATAGATGAACACTTTGTCCCCGCTATTAGTTTTGTTTAAAATATTTTAATGCAACTCTATTCCCAGAGTCTTTCTTCCCCCTACTCTATTATCTCCCCCTGTTTCCACTGGTCTACCCTTACTCTTGTTTTAGAGTTGTGCTTTATTTTTCTTACTTTAATGTATTCAATTATATATTTATTCCTCTTTTTTTGTCCCTTCCATTCCCCTACTCAACATCTTCCCTCTTCTCCAACTATATTGTTCGCTAGTTTTCTCTTTATTCTACCTTCTAAAAAGTTTTCATCTGTTTTGTTCTCTTCCCTAATTCCTTTCCTTTCTACCTTATTCTGAACTTTTAATCTCTGATTCATGGACTGTATCCATATTTCACAGTGGGATTTCTGTGATTCTATGATTCAATGATGATGCTAGAATTAGTGATGGCTAAAAACAGCACTATATGGTAGAAATTACTGTATCCTAAAATATACATTCCACTTCTGCCTCTTTCACTCCCTGTAACTATTTTCTTTCCTATTGGCCATGATGAGACTATGTCTCCCCCTCTCCCTGTTCTGGTTGCCCTATAGCCCACAGGAGCTCACACATTTCCTCCTAGGCAAGAATTTTGTCCATGGAAAGCACAATACTCTCTTCAAAATGGTGATCTCCCAATGTAATGACTTCTCCCTAGATTAAACCTCTAATGAGGCCTCAACTCCCAGCACAGGCACACACCTTTTCCCCCATGAGAGTGCTCTTCAGTGGCACCCCCACCCTTCTGTTAAATTAAACTGTGCCCCTTCAGTCTCCAAGACGCAATCCCTTCCTTCTGCTGCCTCTTCCACTGCCTGAAGCTTCCCTCCTCTCCCCTCATCGCAGCCCTACCCTACCCCCGACCATTCTTTCCAAGAGACTATAGGAATTATCTTTCTGCTATTCACCTATAGCTTTGGCAGGGGTGCACTCTACCCATTCCCCACTGTCTCCCACTTCCCCTCTCCTCACCTATTCGTCCTAAAACACTTGTCAATCCTGTTGCACAAAATGCACTGATTCACTTACAGTGTGATCATGAGACTTAGTTCACATTCCTGTAGCTCTGCTGCTCCACTCTTACCACAGAAAAGGCCTGGATTAAATACTACTTCTGACTTGTACTAGCTGTTGACCATGAACAAGTTACGTAACATCTTTAAGTGCACTAGTTCTCTAATCTAGCAAGATGGAGTTAATGATAATGTAGTACCTATCTCACAGGGATATTGTGAGAACCAAGTGAAATAATGGATATACAACATTTTGTAAATCTTGAGAGGTTACATAAAGAAATGTAAACTACTCTTTCCTGACACTGTGGGAAAGGGGATATACTGGTAGCTACTCCAATAAAAGCCACCACTCCAGTATAACATTCATTTATTCAATAAACACGAAGTGTCTACAAGTACAATACCTCTACTGAAATTCTGCTACTCCGGTGTCTCATTACGACATATAGAAGTAATCTTGGGTTCATAAAATCACAGATTTAGAGGCGGAAAGTACCTTAGAGTCTTTTTGATTGAACCCTAATTTTTATAGGTAGAAAAACTGAAGTAGAGAGGTTAAGTGATGTCCCTCAGGTTTTAAGTGGTGAGGCAGTATCTGACTTATCTTCTGACTTCCCATCTAGCATTATTCTACAATGCAGAAGACTTTGAAATAACTCCGAGTGAGTATTCAAATAAAATGAGGTGCAAAGAACTTCAGCCACTATTATGGTACTTAATATATACATCTAATAGATACTCAAGGTATCTTAAATAAATTCAATAAATGAATTTAAGTTATTAAATAGAAGATAATTAACCAGAATATCAAATTTTCTGATTATTCTAACTAATTAAGGTTTACTGGACTTCACTGTTATTCATCTTCTAACATATTAATTGGATCAGTTCCTTTAGTGTAGCCTAAACCTAAGATACTCACTTTACAATGCTGTGACAATTACAAATATTATAAATAGGTGATCAATTTTTAAATGAATTAAACTAAATTTTAGTTGCAAATTCTAATTAATATAGATTTTACAGCACTTCATCTGCTTGCATAATAAGTGACACATGATAAATAATCTGATTGCAAGACTCCTAAAGGTACTGAAACTTGCTGTGAGAAATGACATAATGGCCATGAACCAAATAAAGGTGGGAACCAAATGAAATCTGCAAAAAAGGCTAATTTCTACCTAACAGAATTACAGAGCAGAGGGGCTACCATGAAAAGGTTTGGGAGATGCCTAGGGCTCCAGAAATAAATCAGAAAAGGCTGACTGAAAGCTGCTGAGCAGCTGGCCTTCTCTGACCTACTCCAAGTCAGTATTTCCTGCTATAGTACCAATCATTCAAAATGATGCAGGTTATACAAAAGCCTTACAGAAAGCCAAAAGATAACAGACGGAAAGGCTTCTAAGATCACAGAAAATCCACAATGTAAAAAATCAAGAGATGACTAAGCAAAAAAGCAAATTTTTTTTTTCTTTGACATCTTTTTAAACTTACCATCTCTGTTAGTTTCCCATTCTACATTTTCTTCTTCACTTTCTGGAGTTCTCTCCTTGGTTATTTTGATGTCTTCCTTCTCCCTATGTCTTCCCCTTGAAGACTCTTTCTAAAATTGCACATATAAATTATAAAGTCTTTGATTTTTTAAATGTATAACTTCATTAAGAGAAATGTTTGAATTTATACTTATTCATAATCATGTCGGTAAGTCAATCTAAGAAATAGTTACCCACTCACACAAAGCAGTAAGTTCTAGACATTTCATTCCACTGTTCTACTAGTACATCTTTATAAAGAACGAGGTCCTGGTTCAAGGAAAAAAAGCAAGTATAAAACTTTGTGACCTTCCGTGTATGATATGCATGGGGAAAATAGTCATTTAAACATTTACACAATATACTGGAATGATCTGGTATTGAGCATAATTTCATAAATATTCTCTACTATATAGTAATCAAACATTTAATAACTTTATTTCAGATTAAGAATATCCTAACATTATTCTTTCTTAGAGAAATAATACTATTGAAAAATGATTTTATATCTCCTAGTTACCTTTAAAAACAAAAATTTACAATTATTTTAATAGGAATCAACATATGTAAATTGTTTTTACAACACTAAAAGATAAATAAACTAATATTTAAAGTTATGGCCAATAGGCCATCTTCACTTGAAGGATTTCATTTTAATCCGGGTACAATCTTAGACTATAAAACAAAATCCTATAATAAAAAATAAGCTATTTTAAAACTCAAATTAAACATCCAGTTACATCAGACTTATAAATATTATCTGAAAAGTCTCCAGACACTACAGGAAATTACAAACCAATCCCTGTCTTAATGAAGCTCATAATCTTCTTCCCCACATCTATACCTTTTCATTAAGATGCTAAATCTTACATGACAATGATAATCTCTTCTCTGAATAAATATTTTTAAACAATGATCCAGCTTACCATTTGAATATTAGAGATATGTGTAATAGATACAGAAATTAGCAGATAAGGACATGTAGTGCTAAGCTACAACTGCTTCTTTACTATAAATATAAGATGTAGTTATCATAAATCTAGGACAGGGAGAACCTCAGCTGTCCAACCCCTTTATTTTAAACATAAGCAAAAACTGAGGCAAAAGGGAGGTTAAGTGGCATGCATACAGGAAGGATTCTTCAGACTGAGGATTTGAATGAAATCATATTATATAACTAAAAGATTACTATATATTGTCACACAGGAGGTCCACAGGATTAAACTAACAAGTGGCAGAATGTGAAATGCAGAGAAGGAATTCCACTGGCTTCTAGGGCAAAAGAAAGGGAATAAAATCCAAGATTACTAACAACAATAACCAAAAGCTTTAGACAGGCCAGGGCCAAGAACTAAAAGAAGCCCAGGAAGGAAGGAAGAGATCAGAGCCAGGTTCCATTTATTTGTACTGACAATAGTTCTCAGAACCAGTTGTCAAGAACATTTTATAAACGTTTTAATAGCAATTCCCTACTGATGTGATGGGAGCCAAAACACAGATAAAATTTATTTTTTCAAAGTGAATTAGTATTCAAAACTAAGGTAAACTGTAAGCTAATTTTCTTTTTTTTTTTTAACTAAAGGCCACAGTAACATGACTTTTTATAGCTTCATAAGTTTCTCTTATCATTTTAGTCCCCTATAAAAGTCCATAAATTTTTCTTTAAAACCACAAACCCCACCTTTAAGCTATTTCAGAAGTAGTTGGGGGAAGGTCTCCCGTTCCAGAGATGTAGCCATGAAGAGAAATGCCAAATAAATAAAGATGGTGGCTACAATACCACCATTTAATAAAAGCAGTATGTGAGTAAGCCCTGAATTTACAGCTAAATGAAACTGGGGCAAAAGAAACAAGCTCTGGATAAAGAAATTATCTCCAGAGATTTTAATGCTGGCAGCAAACCCCATATTAGCATAAACTTTATTTCTAAAGTTTTTGTTTAAGAGAACACTGATGAACTAAATAGCTGCCCTAAATTTCAAATATTTTCATTGGTACATTAAAATGCTACTTGCACAAGATGTTCCTAAAGATTCCAAGGCTTGACACGAAACATTTGAGTCAAGAACCTAAAATTCTAACAGGGCAGAACATATCACTGAAAGCTGGTAAGAGTGGTTAATAGTAGGAAAAAGAATAATCAATGGACTATTATTTCTCCTGAACATTGAAAGAATGACTAAAAAGCACATAATCAAATGCTTATGACATTCCATGCCCTGTGCTAACCACTAGACATACAAATACAAAAAGATTGTGGCCGCCCTTTACAACATATATAGAAATAGGGGGAAACACTTATGGGGAGCGGTGACCAAGAAGGTGTATTTTGGGTGAGGAAATCAAAAGGATGATAATTGAAGTCACAGTTCACAATGGTGAACTCTCATCAATCAGAGTCAAGAACCGGATTGTCAGTTAAGAGGTTAAGGCTAGAGCACAGCAACATGGCATGAGGATGGAAAGGGAGTACCCATGGAAGAGCAAACATGGTTTTGGCATAAAGGATAAAAATACCCACTCAGAACAAGAGAAGCACTGTGCCACAAAAGTCTTTTATCTTATATTCTGCTCAAGCTTCCAAAAAACTTAAAGAGTATAAAAAATTGAAACATCTTACTGAGTGCTTCCAACAGGGCTGAAAAAAATCCCTTTGTATCTGCAAGTGGTCCCCAAAAGCTTAAGAGGTAGACGTTGACTTTTGAGGAAAAACAAAAGACAAAAAAAGAAGAAATAAAAAAGGCAGTATGTAATTATATAGAGCAATGAAGTCCAATTTCAGGTCTAGCTCGAATTTAGTGTCACCAAGAGCCTTGAGAACCCTCCACAAAAGCTCAAAGGAGGGGACAGAAACATTTGGCTAAGACAGTCACTGGGGCAGCACAAGCAAAAGTCCTGGTGGCCATTAGTTCCCATCAATCTTATTTTTTCCCCCTCTTCTATTCACAAGGATCAAATCCTAAATCAACCTTCAACAAGGACATTAGCAACTGAAAAGGAAGAGAATAAGCATGTATATGGCACCTACTGTGTGCCAAGCACTCTGCTAAGTGTTTTACAAACATCATCTCATTTGATCCTCACAGCAACCCCAGGAGGTAGGTACTGTTATTATTACCATTTAACAATTGATGAAACTGAGGCAAATAGGGTCACACAGATAGTAAGTATCTGAGGCCAGATCTGAAGTCAGGTCTTCCTGACTCCAGGCCCAGAGCTCTATCCACTGTACCACATAGACACTTAGTGAGGAATAAAGGAAGACAATGAACAAAGGTGACCAAATGTCTCTTACTAATATTATGCCAGTAAATTAATGAGCATGAATGGTTGGTAAGAAATGTACTTCTGTACAATGAAGGTAAAGCTTCACAAAAAAATTAGGCTTACTGCAACGTACTGCTGGGTAGCATGGCAACTCAGCACGCAGGATTTGTCTAGGTCTCATTTTAAGGATTTTATTAACAAGTAGGTTACATAAAAAATGACATGATTTTCAACTTTCCTCTTTTTTTAATCTCAGAAAGGCCTATAAACAACTGTGTTAGACTTAAGAGTTCTGAACAAGGCAACGTCTAGCCATGATTCTAAAGGAATGACGAACCAGCAATTCACCCTCCAGACAGAGGTGACAAACTCAAGATGCAGAAATGTACACTTCTGGACATGGCCAATGGAGGACTGTGTTTAGTTTGCCTATACAGGGCTTGGTTTTGTTTTGTTTTGTTTTCTAACAAATGTTTTATTTTCCAATGGGAGTGGGATTGGCGGGGGGGGGGGAGAGAATGCTCATTAATAGCAAAAGTAAAAGGAACATAAAAAGCAAAAAAAAAAAGCTATAAGAAGTAACATAAAAAGCAAAAAAAAAAGAAAAAAGAAAGCTATAATAAAGTCCACAGACTAATAGGTAGACCTATTATATAATCTTGCCATTCTGGCACAAAAATGCTATCATTTTCATACACATCTAGACATGCCATCACAGGTATAGCCAAAAGGCTGAGGTAACACTGTCATTTGGAAATTCTAATTTTAGGGGCCCATGTTCATGAAAAGAGTTTTTAAATAGTATCTTTCTATGTGTTCCCAATATACAGGAAACCTTGTAGCAAGTTTTAAGATCAGTTTGGTTATTCTGTAAATTCTCTTATCTGCAAAAGAAGCCCTTGAACAAACTATTCAAAATTCAATGTGATGCCTTACGAAACTGAAATTTTGATATTTAAAGCTAACATACAACACAGTATGTGCCATACACTGTGCTGTGTACTGGGATACAAAAACAAAAACAAAACAGCCTCTAGCCTCAAGGAGCACATAGTCCAACTGGAGGAAACAACACATACAAAAATAGTTGGAGACAAAAAAAAAGGAACCTTGCAGGGGAAGGCACTAGCAGTGAGAAGGCCCAGAAAAGGCTTCATGCAAAAGGTGACACTTAAGCTAGTTCTGAAGGAAGTCAAGGACTCCCAAAACACAGAGCTGAAAAGGGAGAACACTGCAGGTATGTGAGACAACCAGTGAAAAGGCACAGAGTAAGGAAACGGGAGTGTATTGTGGGAGGAACAATCAATACCAGAATGACTAGAACAGAGTGTGTGGAGGAGGGTAATAAATATAATACAGCAAGAAAGGCAGGATGGGGCCAGGCTACAGAGAGCGTTAAATAACAAACAGCAATTATAATGCTTCTTGGAGAGAAAAGGAGAACAACTTGGTCAGACCTATGCTTTATGAGAATCACTTTGGTAGCCTTTGTACAGAATATGGACCAGAGTAAGGAGAGATTTAAGACCAAAAGATAAATTGGGAGACTGTGGCAACAGTTCAAGTGAGAGATGATACAGGCCTCAACTACCACAGTTGCTCTAAGAGCAGAGAGAAAGGAATGTATGCAAAAGATGTTGTGGACGTCAAAACAGCAAGATATGGCAACTAATGTGATATCTAGGGTGAGGGAAAATGAGGAGTCAAAGAAAACACTGAGGTTCTGTAACAGAGGGGACTGAGAGAATGTAAGTGCCTTCAACAATAATAAAGAAGACCAAAAGAGAGGTGAAATTTGAGGAGAAAGCTGAGTTCTATTTTGGACAGGTTGAGTTTGAAATGCTCATAGGACATCCAGTTTTGAAACAGGTAGTTGTTGATGTAGAACTCGTGGTGCTGGGTAGGGAGACTAGGCTGGGATGAATTTGATATATAGGGAATCTTTAACATAGAAATTAACTGAACTCATAGAAGCTGATGAGGTTGCAAAGTGAGTGAGTAAAGACACAAAAGGGAGCTCAGGACAGAGCCCTGAGGTAGACATGGAGTTAAGAAGTTTGACTGAGGAAGGGAGAGCTAACAAAGCTAATAAGATTTAGTGAGAGTTTAAGGATAGGAAACTAAGGCATGCAGGAAAAATATCAGTAGTTGAAGAGAGGTTGCAAATTATAAAGAAACAGAGAATGATGGAAGGAGGGAGACTTCACCAGAAACTGGAGTTAACAAAGGGAAACTAGTCACTCAAGACAGAAGTATCAAACACACCCAAGGCAGCATTGCAGCCAACACTGGGAGGTACAACCTGAACCAGATTAAAATATAATTGAGAAATACTTAACAAAAAATAAAAACACAATAGAACAGAAATGATGTTAATATTGTAAAATGAGCTGAAGAAAGAAATGGCAAACCATTCCAGTATGTTTGCCAAGAAAACACCAAATGGGGCTAGGAAGAATTGGATATGACTGAAGAACAACACATGTTAACATGTTGTTTTTCTAAGTCAATATGCGGCCAACAGGGATCTTTACGTACAGTTTAGTGGCCTCACTTCTATTTGAGTTTGATACCACTGACTTAAGGGATAGAGACTGGGGAGAGAGGACAATGCAGCCACAACAAGAGTGATAAAACTTCAGCCACTTAAATAGTAAGCTAAAGGAGTTCAAGATTAAATGCTTTTGTCATTCTGTCATTTCAGTCACGATCCCATTTGGAGTTTTCTTGGCAAAGATACTGCAGTGATTTGCCATTTCTTTCTTCAATCCATTTTACAGATGAGGAAACTAAGGCAAACAGTGTCAAGTGACTTGCCCAGGGTCACAGAGCTAGTAAGTATCTCAGGCCAGAATTGAACTCACAAAGATCAGTCTTCCTAACTCCAAGCCTGGCACTCTGTGCACTGAGCCACCTAGCTGCCCGACTAAATTTTTATCAAATTAAATAAAGTACAACCTCATAATCTTGAGGCTGTAGAAACTTCTCATAGAAATCACACTGCAGATATAACTTAAGAAATAAAAATTTATATACATATATATGAATAATACATATGAAATGGGATATTATGGTTTATATAGAAACCATTATTTGAAAAAGCTATGTGCGTGTGTATGTGTGCACGTGCAAATGTGTGCGCATGTAAGCTTTTATTTTCATTTTTCTAAGGAAAAGACAACTCAATTCCTATAGATTCCAATATAGTTCTAGCAGAGCTCAATATTAAAGCATCACTGATTCTATCAAGCCTTTGGAATACCTGATAAATAAAAATACTATAGTTTATCAGAGTAATAAATGAAATTACACAATAATAAATTATATAAAATCTTCGGAATTTTTCCTAGTAAAACATTTTACTGTGTGATCTAAGAGACATGTAACAATTCACAGAGGAAGAAACTGTAAAGGTACATAAGCATTTAAATGTAAATATGCATGTATGTTAGCAATGTGTGTATTACACATTTTCTAAAATATGTTCGAATTGCTTAAGATACTGCAAGGCGAAGAGATATGTATGTAGCAGGTGAAGGACAAAGACTTGAACTCAGTTTTCCTGGCTCCAGAGGCAACCTTGTACCCACTAAGTCATCCTGTCTCTATTATTCCATTCCATTGTTACAGAGTTCTAATTCTTAGGAAGTTTTTCCTTATTTGAAACCAAAATCTACTATAATGGGAGTCTGATAGTTTTGAAGGTAGGTAATTTGCACAAAGAAAGGCAGCATTCACCAAGACATATGAAAATTAACTTGTAAATTTTATTTTGGCTATATTTTTATTGATATTCATAGTCTTAAAGTATGCCAGTATGCTAAACTTCTCTTTAGAGTAATATGTAATAACTTTAAGTCTGATTGTTGACAATAAAAATTAATTTTAATAATTAAACACTTTCACAAGCAAGTATCTTTACAAAAGATTCAGAATCCTGAGGTTTTTTTCTTATTCTTTTATCCAGAATTGACATAAATCAAACAGATGTCAGCTCATGTCAGGCTAAATAAAAGTATTCTCTTTCATAATTAATTTTCTGACTTTAAAATAAGGAAAAAAGGTCAATGGACCTGAAGATTTCCTCTTTCTCAAATCCTTGAGATCTTTAAATATTTTGGGCAAAAAAAAAATGGTTTTTCAGCAAATAACTTAAGTAAGGGGTTCTTAATGCCTTTTAGCATTTAAAAAATTTGAACTGCTTTTTCAAATTTTAAGATACTGTAAGCTATAGGAGTAGCAGAGACAGGGCTACATGTAGCACAGACCTTACCTCTAACCATCTCTAGGACCCAATCTACCACTAAGACACTTCACAATGGAGTTAAGCTCCTTAAGGGTATCTCAGATATTGTTTCTGAATACCAAGGGTCTAGCACAGTGATTGAAATATAGTAAGCACCTAATAAATGTTTGTTGTATTAAATTAAATATTATGACCAGAGTCAAAGAAAATAAAAGCACAAGGGGCAGCTAGGTGGCACAGTGGATAGAGCACCAGCCCTGGAGGCAGGAGGACCTGAGTTCAAATTTGGCCTCAAACACATTAACACTTACTAGCTGTGTGATTTTGGGCAAGTCACTTAACCCCAACTGCCTCACCAATGAAAAAAAAGAAGAAGAAGAAAAGAAAAGCACAAAAGAAAAGTATACTTTCCAAATTTAGGTAAGTCAAAAACTGCTACCCTCGATATGATCTGTATGTCTCCTTAATCACATCAAAGCATACAGAATATAATCAAAGACAATATATTATTTGGTTAATTTTAACATGTCCAGGGTCAAATGGTCTTCAAAGAGAAGTAAACTGCAGAGAGTCTAGAAAAAGCAGAGTCAAAGAGTAATAATCTATTAATGTGTACCCTGTACTGCCTAGAGAAGGAGGAGCTCTGATTATAATAACCAGGTTACCAAGATAGAATGCAAATCTCTTAAGAAAATCCAGGAAAGACTTGTATGCACTGATGCTGAGTGAAGTGAGCAGAACCAGGAGAACACTATACACAGTAACACACACATTGCACGATGACTAACTTTGATAGACTTAGCTCTTCTCAGCAATGCAAGGATCTCCAAAACTTTCATGATGGACTATCCACATCCAGAAAAAGAACTATAGAGTCTGAATACAGAACGAACCATACTATTTGCTCTTTTTTTTTCTTCTGTTTTGTTTCCTCTTTCTTGTGGTTCCTCCTATTGGTTCTAATTCTTCCTTACAACATGACTAATGTGTAGATATGTTTAATAGGAATGTGTATGTAGAGCCTATATCAGATTGCACACTGCCTTGAGAGAGAAGTTGGGAGGAGGGGAGAAAAATTTAGAACTCAAAACATTCGGAGGTGATTGTTGAAAACTAAAAATAAATTAATTTAAAAAAAAAAGAAAATCCAATTCTCTTTACCATAATTGTACACTTACTAAGCAACCTTCAAAATCTATAATTTAAACTCCAGAAAAGAGCACAAGAAAAAATGTCTTCGTAGCAAGTATTCAACCTTCATGTTTTCAAATGTCTCCTACTACAAATTCGTAAGGTGGACTCTACTACATAATTCTCATTTTACTGATGTAATTCCATACCCCTAGAGTCTAATGACCTGTAAATGAACTAATAAAATCAAGGACCAGTCCCACAGTGATTCCACCAGGATTTAGATACCCCATCTAAAGCCCAGATTAAGCTCCAGATAATCAACCTCTCTCAAGCACTATAGCATCTTAATTACAATAAAGAACTTAAGGCAATTTAGATGGATTTTCAGATTTTAAAAGGCATTTTTGCTAAATAACATCTCTCAGCTATCTTCAAGAATGCTGTTAAAAATTTAATCTAAGAATAATAAATCAAAATCATATTTTTAACTTTCTAACAAAATGGAACATAAAGTAAGGTCTTTTAAAATTATCTGATACTTGTGAAAACTTGTTTCCTACCCTTACTGGTGAAGATGACTCTTCAGTATTTCGTTTCTGAGGCTCTGTTTCCACATCTTGCCGCTTATTCTTCATCCTTTCCCTAAGATCACCAGTGGGTCTTTCTGGTGACCTTTATAATTTAGAAAAAGAAAAAAAGGAAATATTATATGATATGACTCAGAGACATAACTAGAAAATTCACTCTTAAATATGGATAATTTCAAAAATTTAAGACTACTCAAGTTTGGAAAAATTAATCCATGTTTCAACTCTGCATACACAGGGGTAAAAATAGGCAATACTCTCAATACCATTCAAAATATACATAGTTAAATATTTATTTTGGTCAGATACTATTGAATTAGATGGGGAAATCATGCACAATATTAGATATGGAAATTTGGAAATTAAAGTTTGACTTTTCCCATCTTCATGCTTGAAGGCCAATACTATTGTTTATTTAAAATTTGTCAATCATCTGGCATATTAACTGGGTATGAGACCACTTTGTCAAAGCAAAAATTCAAGGAATAAAACTGAGAAATGGAATTAGTGACACTTAACTATTATAGTTAGCCTAAGAGAATTATTCATACAAAGAACCATTAATTTATAAATTTGCTAATGCAGCACATCTGCAAACAAAAAACAGCAACAACTAACAAAAATAACATGCATTTTAAGTCAAGCAAAATTCAGACATAGTGACTTAATTCCAGCTAAGGAAATGGGGAAGGTGGAGGAGCAAGGGAAAGGAGAATTGAATGAAAAGATATGTATCTGTACATACACACTAATGGTATAAATAATGTATAATAGACATCCTTTGATTTTAATTTATAAAGTTCAATTTACTGACAACAATATCAGCCCAGAGATTATAAGAAGGAAAAGGAAAAGGAAAATGTATCACTTTTAAAATATTCCTGGCATTCTTCTGGTACAAGGGAAATAAAGAATTAAGTAATAGTTACCACCACTCTCCTAATGTCAAAAATTACCTGAGAAAAACCTATAAATTAATTACAAATGACATATCTAACTCAATTTAAGAGGCATTTAGGTGAGATGTACTGGGTAATGATTTAAACACAGATGATACATTTAGTAAACTAAAATTAAAGTTATATTTGTAAAATGTTTTTATGTTAAATGAAAATATTAGCAAGATAAGAAGTAGCATGGTATATGTAGTAGACTGAGAGCTGGTCTCAGAGTCAGAAACACAGAGGGGTTTCAAGTTGAGGCTCTGATACATATAAGCTTTGTGATCTTGTACAAGTCATTGAAAACTCTTAATACCTCAGGCAATTCCAATATTTTAAGTTGCAAAACAGCTTCCAAACCACACAGGTAAAGGGCAGCAAGGTGGCGAAGTGGATAGAGCTCTGGCCTTGGAGGACCTGAGTTCAAATCCGGCTTCAGACACCTGACACTAGTTATGTGATACTGGGCAAGTCACTTAACCCCGATTGCCTCACCAAAAAGCAAAAAAAAACCCACAGTAGTAGAGAAAAGTTCTTAACCAGAAATTCCATGTCATGTTATTTGCACAAATGCTTATCTGTAGTTCTAATATAATGGCATTAAAAAGATGCTTTCAATCAACTAACAATTATTCATTAATGACTGACTATATGCCAAGCACTGTTCTCAGCTCTAGAGATACAATACAAAAGTGAGACAGTGCCTGCCCTCAAAGAATTTATATTCTACTAGACATCATGATAACAGAAATTTATTTTTTATCACTAACAAATTCTTAAGTGTTTAAAAGTTTTTTTTTAAACAGGGTATACAATCAGAGCTTACAATTTTCTACGCAGAGGAGGTTTCCCACAAATTATCTGCCTGAATATTAAATTTGTGCAAAGTAAATTTTCTAAAGTGTGCTATTTTATTTTAGTTTTGAACTAAAACTATTTCTGCCAAATACTGAAGAAGGAGAAAGAAAGAAGGGGGTAAGGGAAAGGAGAGAGGAAGAAAGCAGGAGAAACAAAAAAGGTACATTTCAACTGTAACAGCTTCCAGAACTTAGGACTTCAGCATTAATCACAGTGAGGTCACTTTTCTGGACAGAAAAATTGCTTTATTTGCCTTTTTAAAATCTGTTTCTAAAAAACAGGAATGATATATTTATTACTCTGAAGAGGTCATGTTAAATGGAAACAGTAAAGGTGTAAAAAAGTAAAACTTGGAGTAGCTATGGGAAGGCAAACCCACATGGATCTCTAAACCAGTCCAACCATTTTGGAAAACAATTAGGAATTATATGACAGAAAAAAGTGACTAAACAGTTACTATCCTTTGACACAGCAATTACACCACTGGGCATATTCTCCAAGAAGGCTTGAAATACAAAGTTCCCATAGACAATCAAAATATTCCCAGAAGCACTTTCTGTAATAGCTAAAAACTATAAACAAATTACATGCTCATCAATTAAGAATAACTAAACAAACTATTTTAAGTGAATGTAATGGAATATTATTGCACTATAAGAAATGACAAATGAGGAAATGAGAGAATCCTAGGGAGACTTTTATGAACTAATGAATATTTGCAATGACTACAATAGTATTAAGACAACACTAAAACACAGCCAAACTCGAATTAAATGCAATGCTCAATTTTGGTCCCAGGAGACGTGAAGGAGTATACTTCTCTCCTCTAATAGAGAAATGTAGAACTACATGTGTATAATGTTGCACAGACACAATTTTGTCACCATGTCAGTTGGTTTTGTCTAACTATTTTACTTTGTTACAAGGGAGGGCCTACAGGAAGCAATAGTATATTGGGAAATGACGGGTGGATGCAAAGAAACAAAAAAGTATCAACAAAACTGAGAGAAAACATTAAAAATAATAAGCTCTATTGTAAAAGTTACTGTTTCTAATCATGTAGTTCCAAGTTTCACAAATTAAGGACAATAGGCTGAGTTTCATTTGAGAAGATATCTAATTTCCTTTAAAATGTCTCTCATAATGCTTTATTTTGTTAGAACTAAAGTTACAGGCTGTGGTAAGAGAAGGTAAGAGTAGTGGATTGCTAAATGTCCTTTTCTTGTTACTATATTTGGGGCATTCTGAATAGACGAGGATTAAATAATTATTGCAAACTAACTTTAAAGTGTTAAGACCATATCTTGGTACTATTTTTAGATGCTCTGAACATGTAGGTAGTAACAGTAAACAGAGTAAAGGACCTAGAGTCAGATTTGAATTTAAAACCTATCTGAGATACTTATTAGCTGCAGAATCCTGGGCAGGTCACTTGATCTCAGTTTGCCTCAGTTTCCTCATTGGTAAAATGTGGATAATAATAGCACCTTCCTACCCAGGTTGTTATCATGATCAAATGAGATAATATTTGTAAAGTGATCAGCACATTGCCTGGCACATAGTAAATGCTACGTAAATGTTAGATATTATTATCAGAAGTTCTGAAAAGGCAAAGCATACAATTTATTTTTTTTAATTTTTTTTATTTTTATTTTGCTAGGCAATGAGAATTAAGTGACTTGTTCAAGGTCACACAGCTAGTAAGTGTCAAGTGTCTGAGGCTGGATTTGAACTCAGGTCCTCCTGACTCCCAAGGCTGGAGCTCTATCCACTGCTCCACCTAGCTGCTCCTAAAGCATACAATTTAAAAGAGAAAACTAAAGAGAAATGAACTTGTGAATATTTTTACTACTAGCCTAGTTATTTTAAAGCTTTACTTTCTTTGTAATATTCATTTAAATCATTTTCTTCATTTCTTGTTGATCAATGGCACTAATTTATGTTTATAACACTAGTATTTTTGTTTTAAAGTTACAAACAGCTCCCTTTTCACCAAAAAATAAAATGGTTAAACAACAAAAATCAAATTCTTGAGATTCTATGAACTCCTACTACCACTGCCTTAAGGTATTATTAAATATATTATCAATATAAGAAAGGTAGAAGAAGCCCACAAAAGAACTACAAAAATAAGCCATTCACTGTCACTTATTTAATTTGGATTCTCTTAAGCCCTATTTCAAAGCTAATGAAATAATACTGATTAAGACAGGTTTATTAAAAACATTTCAAATGAAGAATTAAGCTTGAAAATGTCTTTAAAATATCCAATATAGACATACCAATGTTTCTTTTTAACAACTTTATAAAAGTTCACCGTTTTCCCTTCCCTACCTCCCCATATTTTCTATTTTTTACATAAGACAGATGCTGACATTTTCCAAGAATTTGTGCACTTTCTTAAAGCTAAATTTACCTTCTATAACTGCTGCTATAGCCTTTGCCTCGAGGTGAAGGGCCATGTACGAATCTACATGTGTTCCCATAGGGACAGTTGCCAGTCTTCAGCCAGTTACGGCACTGTGTCTAAAAGAGACAGGTATTACTGGATGAATTCCATGAAATTTTAGTAATAAGATGCCTGAGAGACAAAAGTAAAATAAGTCTAATCATTCCAGCTAATCTGATAACTTATTCTAAAAGTAATAAAAAAAGGCAAATAAGGGGAAAAGTTTTTAAAATATTAATTTTTCAACTTTTTTCAAAAGGTAATTTTTAAAAATCTACCAAAAGGAGTTGCAAAATGATCCAATCATTTTGGAGAGCAATTTGGAACTATGCCCAAAGGGCTATAAAAATGTGTATTCCCTTTGACCCAGCAATAGCACTTCTAGGGTTGTATTCAAAAGAGATCATAAAAATGGGGAAAGGACCCACACATACAAAAATATTCATAGCAACTCTTTTTGTGGTGGCAAAGAATTGGAAATTGAGGGAATGTTCATCAATTGGGGAATGGCTGAACAAGTTGTGGTATATGAATGTAATGGAATACTATCGTGCTATAACAAATGTTGGGCAGACTTCAGAAAAACCTGGAAAGACTTGTATGTACTGAAGCTGAGTGAAGTAAGCAGAACCAGGAGAAAATCGTACACAGTAACAGCCACATTGTCCGATGACTAACTTTGATAAACCTCTTCTCAGCAATGCAAGGATCTAAGACATCTCCAAAAGTCTCATGAAGGAAAATGCTATCCACATCCAAAGAAAGAACTATGGTGTTTGAATGCAGATCTGAAGCATACTATTTGCTCTTTTTTTTTCCTTCTGTTTTGTTTTGCTTCCTCTTTCTTGTGGTTCCTCCTATTGGTTCTAACTCCTCCTTACAACATGACTAATGTTAAAATACGTTTAATAGGAATGTATATGTAGAACCTATATCAGATTGAATGCCGTCTTGGGGACAGAGGTGGAGAAAAATTTAAAACTCAAAAGTGTATGGAAATGATTGCTGAAAACTAAAAATAAAATAATTAAAAAATCTACCAAAACAACTTTATCAACATTACTATATTAAAAACAAACAGTTCTTTGCTAAATCAAACCAATACTTAGCATGAGGAATTCCAAAAGGACTCTCATGTTTATACTGCTAATGACTCACCTCAGCTGTATTTCCAGTACTGGGTCCAAGTCTTTCAAATACACTTGGTCTTCGGGATGTGCTATCAGATATGGTCTTGGTATTTTCCACTGTGACCTTTCTTCTAATTTTTGACATCTTGTACTACTTTAACCAAAAAGAGAGACAAAAATCATAAAATACTTTGGTTTTAAATAACTGAGATCAAACTCACAAACAGAACTATTACACTGAAACTGGGAAGGGTTACAGTTGAGATCAAGGATGAACATGCAAATTCAGGCAGAGAGAGAAAGCACACGTCAGAGCATTTTGTTTTTGTTTTAAAGATATACACCACATAAAATAAAATTTATGCTAGTCAAGTTAATATGGTGACTGAGATTTTTATTTACTCCTAAGTTTTTAAAAATCTTCCTCTGTTCAAAATGTTCTAATATTGTCTCACTAACATAAAAAGCAGCAGTTTTTACAAAAAAAAAATTGTCTTAGTAAATATTACATTTATCACTATTAAATTTTGCCCAACATTCTAGCTTGTCAATGACCTCCTCACTCACAGCTTATACTCCAAAGGATCCTAGATCTCTTCTTTATGGGGTATCCCTATCTGCCCATCCTGGGAGAATTCTTGTTCTTATCCACCCACAAATTCCCCATATCCTCAAATTCTCTTGATATCCTAAGTATGCTCAATAGAACCACTGGTTATCTTTCATTCTTGTCATTTTTGATCATACATTCTCTTGATGGCATATTTTACATCAGTTCTACATAATTCTTATTTGTGTGCTACATAAAACGTGCTACATAAAACCTGCACGAGCTCATTATAAATCTTTCTTTTGCCCTTTGAGTAATTCTTAACAATACTTCCAAGAGTGTAGTACTCCACGGCTTAAGCCCTAATGCCCACTTTGTAATCTTCTGAAGGCCCCAGGAAATGCCCTGCCTTACTTCTCTTTGCACACTTATAAACAACTGCTTACCAAGTTTCTTTCCTTCCCTGGCCCTTAACTAAACAGAAAACCGTTTCTCAGTTTTTCTTCCCCTAGTAGACTTACTGCTAGAAACGATATACAGAAAAAGCTCAAAATGGTTTAAATTGCCCTTTTTTCCTTTTATGCTTCAAATGCAAAGATACACAAGGTAGTAATAACAGGTCTTTAGATACACATAGGGGGACAGCTAGCTGGTGCAGTGGATAGAGCACCGGCCCTGAAGTCAGGAGGATATGAGTTCAAATCCGACCTCACACCAAACATTTGACACTTACTAGCTGTGTGACCTTGGGCAAGTCACTTAACCCCTACTGCCTCACTAAAAAAATAAATAAATAAATAATAGATATACATAGGACCAAAGTAAGCTTCTGCAAAGTAGATGAAAAACACCTCAACTCAGTAACTCTCCTGGGCAGAAATGAAACAAGGTGCTGAGATAATGGCCAGTAGGAGAGAAGGAAATTCGATACCAAATACAGAATTTGTCTTTCTCAAGCTTTTCCAACTCTTCTTTATTCTAGTGCCAGCCCTCTGTTAATTATTTCCTATTTATCCTAGTTATAGTTTGCTTTACATATATTTGCATGTTGACTCTTTCATTAGCTTGTAAGTTCCTTGAAGACAGGCACCATTTTGATTTTGTTGCTGTTTTGGGTTTCAGCCTGTTTTAGTATCCCCAGCCCTTAGCATAGTACCTGGAACATAGTAAAACAACTAATACGTGTTTTCTGATTGACTGCTACCAAGAGGAAGCAGGACACAGATGGGGGATTCCAGGCCTCATCAAGGGGTGATGGGAAAGAAGAGGAAAATCTCCAAGGGCAGGTAAGGGAATTTTCTGGGGCTGCCCATTGAGCAGCCAATTCCCAGGGAGCTATTTTATAATCACAAAAATCAAATGTCCTCAAGTTTTATTATTGCAACCTAATATTCCTTATTTTGCATATAAAAGACAGGGAGTATCTTGAAGACAAAAAGAACAAATTTTTTTCTACCAACCATTTTCATACATCCAAGACAATAACTCAAAGAAATTTTTAACTTCTTTTACCTATCAACCCAAAGAAACTTCCTGTGTCTTCTGTACACACCTCTGATCTCCTTACCTTTCTTTTCTACATGTTCATTACTTCCTTCTTCCATTTCTGATTTGTTATTCATCCTTCACTAGCTACCACAAAGACCATTTCCTCCATATTAATTTATAACTATATCTCCAACTGTGATAATTTAAAGTAACTTTCAAAACCTTTAAAAAATTCTGACTCACAAAGAAAAATGGAAAAATATACAGTTAAAGTATAATTCTCCTCTATCCTCCAAACTAAAGGAAGATGTAATTAAGCCAATAAAATAGACATCTTAAACTCAACATTTCCAAAACTGAACTCACTGTCATTGCCCCAAAACCACTTCCCTCCCAACCTTCCCTATTACTGTCAAGGGCACTACAATCTCCCAGTCCCCCAGAATTGAAACCTTGGTGCCAGCCTCACCTCTTCATTCTCTCACCCTCCATATCCAATCTGTTAGCAGAGCCCATCTGTCTTACCTTTTTTTTTTTTTACATTTCTCACAGAAGTTCCCTTCTCTCATCCAATATAATTTGGATAGGAGTCTATAAAAAAATCTCTAACCTAAAGTTCACTAATTGGGGCAGCTAGGTGGCTCAGTGGATAGAGTGCCAGGCCTGGAGTCAGGAAGACCTGGGTTCAAATCTAGCCTCAGACACTTCCTAGCTACATGACCCTGGGCAAGTCACCCTATTTGTCTCAGTTTCTTCATCTGTAAAATGACCTAGAGAAGGAAATGGCAAACCACTCCAATATCTTTGCCAAGAAAACTCCAGAAAAGGTTAGGGAAAGTCAGACACAGCTGAAAAACCTCTACCCTAAATGTAACTAATTATCAAAATCTCAATAATTATAGTAATAGGAAAAGCAAATCAATCAATCAACATTTATTAAGCACCTACTAAGTGACATACATTGTGCTAAACACAGTGAAAAGACAGTCCCTGCCCTCAAGGAATGAGGCAAGAAAAAACACAAAAGGAAGGTGAAAAGCAGAGGGAGCAAGGACAGAGGGTAGTAAAGAGGTGGGGTATCAAGGGCTGAGGGGATTTTAGGATGATGAATGAGATTATGCCATTAAAGAGTTTCGTTGAGAATGGTGAAGTCAGAGAAGTCCCAACTAAGGTCATGCAACCAGGTGGGAAATGAGGAGATAAAATATGCCATTTTATTGGTCTTTTTCATACTTGTTGGGATTTCACTGGTATGGACAACTCCAAATAAGAAAACTCTGAACACTAACGCAGGTCTCTACCTTTTGGTATAAAGTATAATCTTATTTAGCCGCTTGTGGCACAGAGAGGTTAAGTGACAGAAGTGGGATTTGACCTTTTTGCCTCCAAACTAGTCTAGGCCTACATCCACTAAGCCACACTGCCTCTCTCCTTATTAGTCTACACAATAAAAATGACTACAAAAGTGATTTTCAATAGCTGCCCATCTGCTTTCGAATTCTTTTCCTTTGCCTGTTGGCTTCCCAAGCTTCCTTAAAGTCTCAACTAAGTCCCACCTTCTGCAAGAAGCCTTTCCCAATTCTTCTTAATATTAGTGCCTTCCCTCCAAGATTTTCTCCAATTTATCCTGCATTTACTTTATTTGTACATAGTTGCTCCCCCATAAATATCAGTTCTTTGAGAGCAGAAATTACTTTTTGCCATTTTTTTGTAGATAGGTAAGTGATCCCCTTAGCACAACTCCTAATGGCCCGGATAAAGGAGGACAGCACTGCGCAGCTCTATAGATGGGTTACTCAGGCATGGAAAGGAATCTTCTTTTCATTCTCAGAGATTATCATACTGTATGTAAGTATGTCTGTAAGTAAGCACTTCATAAATGCTTCTTCTTATGAGGAATAGGAGCAATGGGGTGAGGGTCACACCGGATTCATGAAATAATAATAATAATAATAATAGCTAACATTTACAGATTGCTTGCTATGTGCCAGGCGCTATGCTAAGTGCTTTACAATTATTATGTCATTTGTTCCTGACAGCAACCTTGGAAAGTAGGTGCTATTATTATCTCCATTTTACAGATGAGGAAACCGAGGCAAATGGTTGAAGTGCACCCGGGGTCGTGCTGAGGCTGGGTTTGAACTCAAGTCTTCCTGACTCCAAGCCCGTGCCAGCTTGCCTCAGATGCCATCTCATGCAGATGCCATCTCATGCAAATGTTTCATTTTACAGAGGAAGACACTGAAGCCCAGTGGTGAGGGGAGGCTGCCCAAAGTCACAGGCAGTGAGCAATGCGAGGTGGGGTTCGAACCCGGGCACTCCCCGCTTTCCCGACGGGGTGCAGCCAGTCCGTCCTATCAGCACGCGCCCGCCTCGGTCCCTCCCCCCGGCCCCGCCCCCTCGCCCGCACAGACGTAAACACGGACAGCTTACCTCCGCCCCGAGCTCCCTCCGAGGGCGCTCCCCGCCGCCCCCGCCGCCCCCGCCTCCGCCGCCGCCACCGCCCCCGCCACCGCCTCCACCCCCGCCACCGCCCCGAGGAGCGGGGGAGGCAACTCCCTGCCCACGGCCCGAGCCTCGGGAGGAGGAGGAGCAGCGTGCGCGGCTCCCGGGAACGGACCCTCGGCTCGCGGGGGCCCCCGGGGGCTGCTGGGAAACGGAGCCCGCCCGCCGCTTAGCCAGGGTCAGGCGAGGGGTGGAAAAGCCGGGAGAAGAGGCGGGCCGCGGGCGGGGGAGCGCGAAGAGGAGCGGAGGGAGCAGGAGCAGGAGGAGGGCAAAGGTGGGGAGAGACTCGAGGGAGGGCAGAGGAGAAGAAGCCTCCGGGAAGAGACGATCGGGCCGCGCACAGATCCCCCTCCGCTTCGTCGCCGGAAGCCGAGAGATCACTGGACCGGGTAGAGGCAGTTTCCGGCCACCGGATTAGTCGTCAGTGCGCACGCTCCACTCGTCACGGGCACGCCTCTCCTCGTAGCCCCCGGATTAGTCGTCAGTGCGCACGCTCTGCTCGTCACGGGCACGCCCCCCGAGGCTACGCCTCCTCCGAAAGACTAAGCCTAGAGGGGGCGGAGTCTGTGTTATGCAGACAGCTTTGGGCGGCTAGAAAAGGCTCCCATTCGTTTTTACCCGTTTACACCGCAGGAAAGCTGGTCCATCATAAAATTTCTAACAGGACGTATACTAAATACATAAAATGCTACGTTAATTCTTATAACTTGTTTCATTCATTCAACAAATATTTATTGAAGAGTATTGGTGAAAGTTCTAGTCCTGACTGCCATTTACACTAGCTGTGCGATCTTAATTCAGTTCTATTCAATAAACATTTATTAAACGCCTACTATGTGCCAGACATTAAGCTAAGTGTACAAAAAGCTCCTCAAGGAGTTTACAGTCTAAGTGTCTTCACCTCTGTCCATCCATTCAAACAATATTTTCCTGAAAAGTTTGGGCTCCAGGGCCCTTTTTAGCTCTGAAATTTTTCTGTATGTAATTTTCTGTTTTCTCCCAATCTATGCAAGTGGACGGTAGCAAATTTCTTTCAAGACTGAGTCCAGGGGCAGCTAGGTGGCTCTGTGGGTAGAGCACCGGCCCAGGAATCAGGTGGACTTGAATTCAAATCCAGCTTCAGACACTTGACACTTAACTAGCTGTGTGACCCTGGGCAAGTCCATTAACCCCATTGCCTAGCCAAAAAAAAAAAAGACTGAGTATTCCCAAGAAGTAGGGCTAAGAAAAGGATCATATATAATATGATAAATATATATTATATATATATATATACATTAATAATATACCCAAAGAGTAGGAGACAACAGAAAATTACATACAGAAAAATTTCAGAGCTGCAAGGGGCGCTGCAGCCCAAACTATTCAGGAAAATATTGTTTGAATGGATGGAGAGAGGTGAAGACACTTATATTGTAAGTTTCTTGAGGGTCAGGACCATTTTTTTCTCTTTTTGTAAGAAAAAGGTCATATATGATATGACAAATATATATATAATGTATATATATATATATTAATTATATACCCTGAGGTAATGAATAGGGCTTGAAGTTGGGGAAGACCTACATTCAAGAACTGCCTCTGACTTCTGATCTTGGCTACATTACTTCAATTACTTCAGAGTTGGAAAAGTTTCCACAATAGATGTCCGCGCCACAGATGAAATAGCAGATCTAGACCATTGTCCACTACCCACATAACAAAATCTAGGTCAGAAGAAGAAAGTAATGTCTTGCTTTCTTTTATTTGAAGTATAAGAAGAAATTTGTTGAAAGTTTGGACCAAAAGTTGATAGATACTGACACTTTTTCTTGCTCCTTCATTGCAGTCATTAAATTTGATGTACCATTTCCAGTCAGCAAGGACATAGGATTGGCTTTTTAAATGACTTACAAAGATAAAACTTGAGATACTGGGTTATCTTACTCCCGCCCCCACCCCTTTCCCCATAAAAGCAGTATTTATGCTGACTATATCCCTTTGGTAAAAACCTGAAAGAGTAGGAAATCCCTTTATCTAAACTAATAATTATTTTTAAAATCTGGCAAAATAATTGGGTCCTGCTATCATGAAATCAGTTATTTGAAATGGGGCATATTAAGTGTTAAGGATGACATGAGAAGCTATTGAATAGACAGCTGCAAAAATTTCTGTCACTGTTGGTCTGATAAATCTTTCTGGAAGCAAGAATCCATATTGGCCTTTGTCTCGAAGTTCAAAAGTAAAAGAATATTTGATGCCCATGTCATAGGCCCAGTCATCTGAACCTCCAGGAGATAAATCTGGAAAAATATGAATAAGTTAATTACCATGTGAAATATAGGTGCCCCAGGATAACTGAAATACATAATACTACGTTACGACCTCAAATTCTGCTTCCTACCAAAAAGAAATCTAATAGAATCAAGGGATTCTTCATTCCTGGAATGTACTCCTTCCATACCTTCTCTCTGAATCCTTCAAAATTCACCTCACTTGCTATCTCTCCTATGTAAAGCTTTTTTGATTCTTCCCATTCCCAGTCGACAGACCTTGTTTCCTCCTCAAACTGTACTGTATTATACTTATCTGTAAAGAGGAGGCACTTAGTAAAGATTTATTTAATTAAATTGTAACTATGTCTACACGGAGAGGCAGGGTTGTATAGTGGATTAAGGTCTAGAATTAAAGACAAGAAGACACTTACTAGCTGTATAACCATGGGCAAGTAACTTAAACTTTTTATACCTCGGTTGTGAGGCTCAAATGAGAAAATGAGTTTTGTCTTTGTAGCCGTGGTGTCTGGTATATAATAAGTACTTAATAAATGTTGAATTGAATGCAGCATTTTTCTTACCTCCCTTCAAGTTTATAAACTTAGGATGGACATAAAGTAGTACCAGTCAATCTCATGACAATATGTTATTATGGGAAAAATATTGGACTTGTAGTCAAAAGACCTGGATTTGACTCTCAGCCCTGGCACTTAGTAGCTATGTGACCCTGGGCAAGTCACAAGCTTCAGTTTCCTCATGTGAATATAGAGATAATAATTTGTTCAGAAAGTGCTTCTGAAATGGCCATGCAAAAAAGATACAGGGTCATATTAACTTTATTAATAAAAATATAAAGAAGCCAAGAGACCTGGGAACAACAGCACCTCATCCCCACAAATATCCGTTGTTTCCTGACTGCCTTCTCCACCCCAGTTGTTATCCAGGAAAGCAACCCTTATGGATGTGGACCTGGCAACTGACCCTTTAGCCCCACCTCCTCAGCAGAGACCCAGAAAAGAAAGTTATAATACCAAAGTCCTTGGCACTGTCCAATGGTTCAACATCTAATAGGGTTTTACTCATGAAAAAATAATCTAATGAGGGCGTTGGAGCATTTCAAGATCCCCTAATGTAGAGGCACCCTGGTTCCCCTACCACATTCCCTTACCACTGGCTGGGAATACCCTCCTTTGGTTGGCTGCTTAAATCAAACAGGCTGCATCGTTAAAATTGGTCAAACTGAGATAGTCTTTCTCTTCCCTGTGTATCTTTTCCTGCTGCGTCCAGAAGGCAAAGCTTGCAGTCAACCTTCATTGTGGATATCATGAACTGAACTGAGAGGGGAAGGGTACATTCTCTCCCTTTTACCCAAGCTTCAGCTCTGAGAATTGGGGCCGGGGTCCTTCTTAGTTTCAGGTACCAGCAGTGATCCCCACCAGACCCCAGAAGTTCAAGTCATAGTGACCTTAAAACCAGAATTCTAGGCAAGATATTGCAGTTAGCCAACCCAGTAGGAAAGATGGAAAAGCCAGTGTACCTGGGACTGAAGTCCTAGGTAAGGTAGGGGGCTAGATTTGGAAGGTAGGACTGTGGGCTGTCTAGAAACTGAGCTTAGCTATGTACCTAATCCTTTCTCCCTCCCCAAGAGTGGGTTGGGGGTGGAATTATACCTCCCGTGTGTTGGGGGGAATGAGTTTATATATTTGTGAATATGTCTTTTGAAGTAAATATTCCTTTGTAAAAGCTAACCTTTTAGCTTTTACAAAGCTAAGTGGTTAAGTGGAACTGGAGTGCAGGGGATCCCCCCCACACTTAGAGGAATATCAGAAGTTGGGGCTAGAGCCAATGGCAGAGAGCCTACATACCCCTAAAACCCTTTCAGTGTACTAGAAAACCTGGAGGAAAAGTGAGATGTAATATACCTGGCCTTCAGGTGGGGGGGGGGAGGTTAGGAAGGCAAGAGAGTGAGTGTTACAGTGAAAATAAAGAAGATGCATTACCCTCTGTTTTGGCACTGAACCAAAAAATATATACCACTGGACCATTTCTTTTGAGTTGCCACTGAAACCTCCTGTATTAGAATGTGAGCTCTATGAGAACAGGGACTGACTTACTTTTATATTAGAATCCCCAACACTTAGCCCAGTGCTTTACACCTAGTTAATACTTAATAAATACTTTTTCCTTTATTCTTTTCCTAATTTAAAAAAAAAAGTCTCCACAAGTAGGCCTTAAATGAATGAATAAAATGAAAGAAGAAATTAATGAATGAATGAATGTATATTTAAGCATTTATAATAGCTGAGTCTTAGAATAGTAAACAGGAGTAAAGTATAAGAAGACTAGAAAGCAAAGAGAGGGCAGGTTGTGGAAAGTTTTAAAAAATGAAATAAAGGATTTTATATTTGATCCTGAAGGTAGCAAGGAACAACGTGAGTTTACTGAGTAATGCAGAGTATTAAACATAGACCGACAAGTCACACTGTGGCCACAACACTACCCTGTCCATCTGAACCAGATTAAAATTGAATTGGGAAATATTTAACCAAATTAATAAAAACACAATATAACATAGATAATGTTAATATGTGGTTTTCTAAGTCAAGATGTGGCCCCCCAAAGATATTTTTACATATGGTTTAGTAGCCCCAATTTCTATTTGAGTTTAACACCATTGAAGTACAGGGTAACTTGGCTAGCCCTGCACTTTAGAA